TCTTTTCCTTGTACTGCAGGTTTCTAAATAGATATGATTTAACTTGTGTAACCTTTTCCCATCAATGCATTCTTCACCTTTGTACCTGGATACAGAAGAGATCCAAGAATACAATGAATGCATGTTGTGTGAACTGAGAATGACTTTCCAACTTTTCCTGGCAGCATAAGGTTGGAAACGAATCAGTGAAAGCATATTTGAGTTTGGACCACATATATGGATACCTGAAAATGTGCACAACCAAGTTGCTGCTTCTCCAGGAAATCCAATGCTTTTCATCAACAGGGTATCTGACATTCAGTGCAATCCTTTGAGGGTCCGCCTGGAACAGGTAAGTGGCTATAAGACTGTGGCTTTAAAACTCTATGCATATTAGTGCAAGTGGATAGAAATGTTTGAACATTCCAAAAATACTCAATTCCATCAATGAGCAGCCAATGGGAAAAAAGCAGCTGACAATCTGTGAAACACAGATGGAACAGGTTTAACAAAACCCTTGTTTCTTGCCTGCTATTAATTTTAATGATGTGCCCATGCACTTGTTTGGGATACCTACCTGAAGATTCTCTGACTGACAGTGTTTGCAAATTAAAGTGAAGGCTGGAACTTCATCTCCACAAGTTCTCTTCATTTAATCTCCTTTCTTGGCTTAATTGACTTCAGTCCTGTCCCTCCAAAAAGTGATATTTTCCCATCTATCTCTTCCCATCTGAGCAGCAAAAATGGGTCACCTAATGAACAAGTTCTTGCATGTATTCTTGCATGAAGTTTCTTGGATGTATTCACCCTACAAGACACACAGCAATAGCAGTCCATCTGGTCTGTTTGGGGCAACCGAACTCTTACCACTGCCCTCTAGTGAAAGCCTGTTTGGGAATGCAGTGAATGGGATCAAGCACAGTGTACAATTATGTAGATTTTTTTAAAGCACAGCAGAACGCTTTTGCCTGAATAATCCCCATGCTGCAATGCTAATCACTCTTTCTGGCTCCCCTGAAAATTAAGAGCTGTACAAAAGTAGAATGCAAGTATTATGTATAATTAAATAATAACCCAAAGGGACTGTGCTGGAAGCTGCATAGTGCACAGTTTGTCGCGGTATCGTTAATCCCTGATGAATAGCTCAGTCGCTGATGAACTGTTCTATCCTCCCCAAATGTCACTGATAAGGAATTCATCCTTGAGAACTGAGCGACTAAAGTCAGCGGAATGAAGAGGGACAGCTCTGGTTGAGCTGCCCAAGAGCTGATGTGTCGGAGCTGTGATGTGGCTTGTGACCTGAAAGGCCATCTTTGCCCACACAACCCTGTCTGGGTTCTACCGTTGGGGGAAGGTCCCTTCTCAGAGTCGCCCCCTTCAGATACACGTGTGGTGATGACAAAGAGGGAGCCTTCTTGGAGGCTGCTCCCAAGCTATGGAATGCCCTTCCAAGCGAGATGAGGTTGTCTCCCTCTCGACTGCCCCTCCATTGGAAAGCAAGCATGCTTTTCTTCAGAAGGCTTGCGTGTGTAAGCCGGACTATTTGGTTGTGTGCTGCTTTATTCAGTAATGTATTTGCTTCATTGTCATTTAAACCAAATGTTTATTGTAGTGATTTTGTTCCTACAGTTTTTAGCCACCCTGGGCTCCAGTTGTTGTAGTAGAAAGGTGGTAGACAAACCAATCCAATCCAATCCAATCCAATCCAATCCAATCCAATCCAATCCAATCCATCAATAAGTTCGAAACAAAATTAAAGTGGATCAGTAGGATGTGCAGAGAAATCTCCTGCATTATACCAGGAGTGGGGAGCCTGTGGGCCTCCAGATATTATAGAACTCCAGCTCCTATCAGCACCAGCCAGCTTGGCCAATGGTTAGAACTGCTGGAAGTTGTAGTCAAACAAACATCTCAAAAGCAACCAGTTGGGAAAGGCTGGCCTAGAAAGTCCTTGATTTCTGCTCCCCGCTTGCTCCATTCTGCCGTTCCCTGTGTAGCAGCTTGCAAGCAGGCTTTCAGGAGAGTGCTCATGAATGCCGAGACAGAAGGAAGACTGATGAGCACCGCCACATTCCGTTTGTTGCGTGATGAAGAGACAGAAGGCAACCTCAATCAGCTCCTTGCAGGCACGGCCCTGAGAATCGAGGGAAGCTGGCACAGAGGAAAGTCCTTGTTTTTCAGCAGTTGTCTGACACCAGCTACTGAAGTGCTGTGCCTGAAGCATAAACAAAGGGAGCCTTCTTCTTCCAAGAGGGCCTGTCTTCCAAAGATAAAGAAGGACAGGAGCAGAACTCTGCACAGCCCACACAGGTGAGCAGGAGGAAGACTGCCGTGAGGTATCTCTTGCCCCACAGGGACAAAAGCAGCAAGAGCATCTATTTTCTGCGCGTTGGGCTCTTCTCATACCTTGCCAAGGCATGTTTTTATGAGTGGGGGACAAGCTTTTATTAATAGCATGTGTGAGCAGAAAACTAATGCAGGGTTGCCTGCTGATCATTCAGTGCAACGCAGTTGGGGAGAAAAACCTGGGGAACAGACTGTGCAGAGTCTGGTAGATCCTTTGATCCCACCCATGCCCACCCACTGCCCCAGCAGACAATGCTGTGTAGAGTGAGGGAACAACAACCCACTCCAGTGCTCCATTTATCTACTGGACACACACACAAGAATACTGAGGGGAGGGGAAAAGGAAGGAGGAAGAGGAGGCAAGCAGGAGCCCTGCTTGGTCTGGTCATCTGTCAAGCACAGAGGAATCTGAACTGCAGGACATGGATAAAATTCCTAAGGGGTTTAACATTTGGAATGAACCCAGCTGCTGTTGGTTATTCACAGGGCCGCTGAGCATGATGTGTGAACATGACCGTTGACTTGAGAATAAGCACCAGCTGGTTGTAGAATAGAATAATGTAGTCTAAAATTAGCAGTCATGAAACAAGCATCTGTAACTATGTACATGCTTGTCAGCTGCCCTTGATTATAAAACCTATGAAAGGAGAATGCACTGAAGAGCACCAGCAAAGGGGGGGCAGCCTCCCCATCCCAGCTCAGGTACTTAATGGGGGTGGGGGCTGTTTTCTGATGGCCGGCCCATCACCTGACCCTCCCTGGTTCATTCTGCCCTGACACCTGGACTGCAGAGCACCAAACTCTTTGGCTCAAGGGCCAGCCCTTGTTGCATCTCTATGAAGGTAAAAGAGGGAAACAGTTTTGCCTGCATATTAGGTTAGAAAGAAGGCTGAGAAGACATTTTGGGTCTTTTGAACTCCTGTCTCCCAGAATTTTAGATGTTTCATCTCCATCTAAAACTGCCTGTGCTTTTCTTGCATCCATTTCTCAGCTTCTCCATTCATGTTACACAGATATTTTGGTTCATGTACAGCCAGTATTTGCTTATGGAATATCTCCTTCATTCTGCGGTATATCCCATTACATCAGTACTCTCTAAACACGGAAAGCAACACATGAAAGAAGTTGATTATATGGCTTTTTTGAGGAAAACCTACTTCATCCTGTATTTTATTTCTGTTTTAAGGTGGTTGATGACATGGTGGCAAAGTGATGATTGATCGGGTAAGAATCTAAATATTTAAATAAAACAGAGCAAGCCAGACTGCTTAATCTGTCAGAGTTGTATCAAACAAAAATCCAATTAAATGTAAACAGAAGAATACAAGAAAATATATTTCAAGTCCTAGCTCACTTTAATTACTCCTTTACGAATGATGTTTTTGTACTGATTGTATTTTACCGTATTATGTTTTTTAATGAAATGTGTACACCACCCCGGAATCTTTATGATGACGTATAGTGGGTAAATGTCCTATATCATTAAGAATAATAATATGTGTTAAACTGTGGTGGTATTTGAATCAACAGAAGAAAAGAAGCGTAGCTGAGAGCCAATCCTGGCTAGAGAGCAGCACTTCCATCTTCCTTTAAATTATACACTGTGAACAGAGCTGTAGTGTTTTTGATGGATTCATTCTTTGGTCCTAGATGGGATTCTGGAAGACTCCAATTATCACCTTGTCAATCCCACTTCTTCTATTGAACTAGTAGGATAGAGTGCATTCTGGCAGGGAGAAGGGAATATATATTTCATTTCTGCTATATGCAGCCATTGGTCCAGTGGTTGCCAGCTGCTTAAAGCTGCAAGATTTGGTCCCTGGATAGGTTATACCTGAGCCTACCAACACCTGAGCCACCTCGTCCATGTTCCCCTGAAAATGCATTTGCTCTTCAAAGCCTTTCTTAAGATGCCTTAGTGGTGGCTTATATGCACTCCAAGCCAATCCTCATCTGCTGCATTATTATGACAGGCTTCACTATGTGTCTCTGCACTGCTTGAGGCATTTCTTTTCTCACATTGCCTTTTAAAAATGTATATAGGGGAGTGTCTCCCAAAAAGGCCTTTTGTAATTTTGGAACCTACAAACAAACATGTGGAATGCATAAACTGCAGAGATGGTACCAGAAGCCTTGGATGATAGAAGCCTCTTCCTCATTTCTGAAGGTTCTGCTGTTAATGAAGGCGTGCAAAGTCAGCCCTTGCTTGACTACCAAGTATTTGCAAAGTGGGGGTTGTGGATGAGATTTGCTTCTACTGCAAGCCATGTAATTGCTGTGCTCTCCACACCACACGGTGCGTTGTTTAACAGTTTAATAGTTTCATTTAACAGTTAAATGGTAGTAAAACGAAGAAAAGCAGCTTGGTAGACATGAGGTTTGCTGATTTCCATCCTACCCATCTGAAAGCTAATCACTGCATTGACATTCGAGCTTCATAACATATGAAAATCATCATAAAAGTTGCATTTAAGGATCTACTTCCTAGACTGGCCTTTAGTTGTCTCCCCCTATACTTGATTATACTCTGAATCATACTTTACATTACAAATGTAATATTGGACAAAGAAGGTTGATTTCCTTCATCGTATTTTTAAGGTGTCTAGGAACTTTCCCAGAAATATCTTGGTGGAAAAGTACATTGTGGAGCTCTCCATGGATCCCAAAATGGAGCCTCAGACCAATGCACAACACAGCCACTGTGGAAGAAAGAGAGGATTACTTAATTAGGGCATCTATTTAAAATTTCAGAAAACTCTACCACTTCTGGCATTGTTCTGTTGTCACCGGAAGCACTCCTGTGGCAAAGGGACAGCAGGGGTCTCCAAAACTGGACCAGTTGTTTGGATATTTGGGGAAGCCTTTGGACCCAGCTGAACCCATGAACATCTGAATGCCCAAATCCAAGCTGGCAGGAACGCAGCTTGGATTTGGGCCTTAGGCTTAAGTGGCCTTAGGCTCTTTCTGTGCCCCATCATTGGAACCTCAAGATTTTCAGTGGAGGCTGGTGGCTTCAGTGCCAGTGGGACTGGGTACCTGATCTGCTTTGAATTTTCAAGGGGTTGTGCATCACACTGAAACCAATCCCTGGGTGAGGTTCAGCACCATGGATAGCTCCACAAAAGCTTGGGCTGGAAGCTGGAGCAGATACGCTGCCTGCTGACACTGGATCCCTGGAGGCTACTGTGATCCAGCTCCTTTCAGTGCAGCCTGGATTCTCCTCACAATTCACCAAAGGATCATGCCACACCATTGGACAGTGATGGCAGTGGCCTGAGTTCAGCTGGTGAGGAGGCATGATGCCAAGCCCATGATGCCCTGCAACACCCAAGGCACTGCCCTGGCTCAGCCAAGGTGCACCTTTCCTGCCGACCAGCCCTCTATAACCCACACCCTGGTAAGCAGCATGTTCTCCCAAAATGGGTGAGAGTGAGACTCCAACCTACGTGCATTTATTTGTTTAATTTGTGCTTTTCTATTAAAAAGGATGTTCTGGGCTGCTAATAATCCCAAAATTCAGGTTAAAAATGAAATTTTAATTAAAATGTAACTTAAAAGCAGTTCCCTAAAAAAAAACAAAACAAAAAACCCAACTCAAAACAATACTGGCAAGCTGAAAGTCTTCTGGCTTCCAATGCACTCCCTGTGGTTGTCTGATTTTAATTGCCAGCCTGACCTTTGTATGTGGTTGTCTACTCCTAGTGTTTTTATAGGTGGCCTTTCAGGGTTACCGCTCTCAAGGCAACTCACACATTGTTCAGACCATCTATAATAATGTATTACAAACCATAACACAACACACTGAGCCTGAAACATGCTTGTTGCTGTACTTTCCTCCTCTTCTAGGCAGCAGAATCCCCAGCTTTAGGCGGAGTGAGGTGGGTGCCTTGAGCAGCAGATGCTGCAGGGAGCATAAAACAGCAGTGAGGTGCTGGAGGGCAGGGCCTCGTGCCTCATGTGGCCGGGATCTCTTCTCAACCATTCCAGAGGGCAGATCTCAGAAAAATGGGTTCAGGTTACAAGACATCAGGAAGACCTTCCTGACTGTTAGAGCAGTGCAACAATGGCACGAATTCCCTAGGGAGCTTGTGGGCTCACCCACACTAGAGGCATTCAAGATGCAGCTGAACAGCCATCTGGGAGGGATGGTTGAACTTGGTGTCCTGCACTGAGCAGGGGGATGGACCTGATGGCCCTCTGAGCTCTTCCAACTCTACTACCCTATGATTCTATAATGGCGTTTCACAGCAATTGCAGCTGCTGGTGAGCTAATGTATTAACTAAGAACAAAAACGAGAGGGGAAGCAGAAGTAGGACACCTTGGTGGATGCCAGGAAAAGTGTCCAGGAGCACATTGCACCCATATGCACCATGCTATCAAACCCTGCTGTAAATGTCTCATGCATAAAAGAAGTAGATAACCCAGCTTGTGAGAAACATATATACTAAATCTACATCTCCTTGGGTCTCAGTGGGTAGGCCTAGTCTAGACAATGGGTAGATTTGCAAGTAAAGGCAATTCAGCGTAGCGAATCACCATGATGGGTTGCCATTAAGTATCATGCACCCATGATGAGCCTGAAAGCTGATGGCACTCCTTGTGGGTGCTTTGCTGCCTCCCCCACCCCATTCTTCTCACCCCCCCCCCCCCCCGCCGGCCAACTCCCAAGAAACACCATAGGGAGGAATAAGTGACAGCCACAATTGTTAACCAATTGCAGCTCACTGCAGATGACAAGGAGTCTCCACTGACTGTGCAAACAGGACACACCCTGAAACCTAACAGGGAGGCTGATGAGCTGATTGGGTGCACTGTTCTCAGGGCAGCAGTGCTGAGCCAGTCACAGCCCTAAGCTCAGGCAGCAGGTGGGATGGGGACTGGTCTGATTGGCAGTGCAGTCACACCAAGCTAGTCATCAGCTCCTGTCTCCTGCCTAAGATTGGCAAGCTCAGGCAGAAGGGGGAGCAGTCCTTGATCTGCTTGGAGACCCGGCCCTGAGAATGGGACAGCACTGCTGAGCCAGTTGCCAGCTGCAACCTCCTGCACAAAAGTAGACCCAGGGCAGGAGACATGGGGGTAGGATGCCTCTGACAGCTGTACCGAAGTGGGGGCTGCTGTTAGCCACACTCTCTGGCCAGACACTTGGAAACAGCAACAACAACCCCTCTTGCCAAATGGCTCACTTTTTCTGGAGCTTGGGCCATGATAGGTTAGCCGTCTGCTTTCAGCTGACACGTTGAGCAAGCACGGAGCAATCAAACCCTTGAACAGATTGTTATGTTTGATGATAGTTCACAACCATGATTTGGTCACCATGACTGAGACCAGGAACAACCAACCAAAACAAGCATTGTCTGGTGCTCCTGTTGTATGAACCCGGTAAACGTCTTTCCACCCGTGGCCGAAAGCTTCAGTGGTTTCCTGCCTTGCCTCTCTTCATTAATTTTCTGTTGACACCTGGCTGCCCAGTTGTTCTCAATTAAATGTACAGTACTTAGGTTTAATTGTCATTACCTCAGCCAGAGAGAGCTGGACAGTTCCATGCTTATCCTTGTCTAGCATCTGGAACATTTCTGGATGGCAAAAGAAGAGCAGGTGTTATATATAGAAATAGCAGTATTTGATATATTAAAATATTGCAAAAATCCGCAGTGGATGCAGTTGGCTTCAGACTTCTATAATCTGACCTACAGATGCTACAGCAGACTGACGTTTCCTTAGCTACACAGGTTCTGCAGACAGTGTTCTGACTGGTTTTACTTTCCATAGTTTTACACAAAAGTAGTTCTAGACTTATTAAAAAGTAAAAAAAAAAAAAAAACCAACCCCTTGCTGAAAACATCCATCATAGACAAAACCATAAAAATGCAATGGCTGGGTGGGGGGGGGATCTGCATCTTTCAGAGTTCCATTGATGGGTACAAAAATGAAAGGTACCTCACTATTCATTAAATGCAGATGGTGAAGATTTAACAAAATCAATTTAACACCCCTACTGATACATGAGAAGTATAAAATCTGGAGATGGAATGGTGTAGGAGAATAATTTCTAGAACAATTCTTCAAATCTGAAGGTAGCCTAATTCTTTCCAAGCATAATTTTATAATGGTGCTTCCACAATAGCTACAATCTGATTTTTGCCTATGAGAATAAGCAATGCTGCATGTGTACAGACACTTCCCAATGCACAAACAAAGCATTTCCCTCTCTTAGAAAAGATAATAGCATGGCTACAGGTCAGCTAATCTATCTCACCAGCACAAAGCCAGAATCATGGGTACACACACACCTAAGATCATTTCTAACAATCTAGCATGCCACAACCAGCAAGCAGGTTTAGAGCAGAGATATGTCCCCAAAGGAAATAAATTCAGAAGCGCAAACCAACAGATGGGCCAGCCTATAAAATGCATAGCTTCTGATTTCACCTTATGTCTCTAGACAAACTAACAGGGAGGGAAATGTTCTCCTAACCTCAAATTCAGTGATTAGGCAGGTCGCAAGCCTGAATAAAACTGACTTACTGACTCATCTACGTGGAAAGCTTTCAAATTGGAAGCCACTCACTTTGCATACAGGGAGTTCTCCTCCACACACATATTAATAATGACACATTACACATCAGACTATGGTTCTCCAACATTCTCTACACTTCTCCAAAGCAGTATCCCATTAATTGATTGCTAGGTTCATCTTTAATCGCAAATATATGGGCATTCAGTTAAAACACACACAGTTCCAAGCCCTGTCCTGACATGTTTTTGCACACACAAGTGGCATTCCCAGGTTCTCAAACAGCAGGAACAACTATACAGTTCGCTGTTACTGGAATAAGTCACCCAGCCCAGATAATTGCAATCCTAAATACTAATAGGACGTAAGAAGTCATGAAATGGTGGGGCATTGCTCTGTGGGTAGGGAAGGGCCAATGCAGCCTTGTGTATCTCAGTGGCAGGGATGTATGAGAATGTCAGCAGAAATATGCCCCATTCACAATCCTGAACAGAAGCAGAAGCATCTTTCTTGAAGAAATGTTCCTAGATTTCTAAATGTGTGATTATTGTGTTAGAACAAAGTGTGTTTTTGATGTTCGCCTCAAAATGCTATTTTTTAAAAAATGTGCTTTTACACTTTTGAAAAAAATATGCAGAGAGAAGCATCCTTCTCTTCTGAAAGGCATACTTTTCCTATTTCAATGAGCCAAAAAACAGGCTGAAAACCAAAATGGAAGCAAGCTGAGATGTGCTTTGCAGTTATTCCTGGAGAGAATGTGTGTGAGTTTGAAAATCTTATTTGCCTATCCCTATTCAATGGCAGAACAAGTGCTTTGCATGCAAACAGACCGAGGTCGAACCGCAGCATTTGCTGGTAGATCTGGCAAAGATGTCTCTCTGAAAGCCTGAAGAATCATTCCTAGTCCAAAGGGACAGAAATGAATTAGAGCAGCCTTTTCTGACCTGGTGCCTTTCAGATGTTTTGGATCATAACTCCCAAAAGCCCCAGCCAACATGGCCAATGATTGTGGATTATGGGTGCTGTAATCCAAAACATATGGATTGGGGAAGGCAATGCTTTGTTGTTACTGTTGTTATGTGCCATCAAGTCATCTCTGACTTATGGTGACCCTGTGATGAAAATATCCAGAATATCCTGTCCATGACAGCTCAGTTCAGCTCTTCCAAGTTCAAGACTGTGGCTGCTTTTATGGATTCCACCCATCTAATATTTAGCATTCCCTTTCATCTTCCCCCTTTGACTTTCCCTAACATGATTGTCTTCTCCAGGGAGTCTTTCCTTCTCATGATGTCTGAAGAATGACATTCTCAGTTTTGTCATTTTTGCTTCAAGGGAAAGCTGTGGCTTGATTTGATCTAGGACAGTATAAAGCAACTCCCAATTGGTGTTCACCACTTTAAATAGATGATTGTTTTCAGCTGTAGTGAAATGTAGAAAAGAATGTTCAAGATATATAAAAATTACAAAATAATGTAGACATAAATGTAAGTTGTTGTGACTGCTCCTGCCACAAGCAGTATCTGGCAGATAGCTGTAAATTCACATTGCACACATGCATAAAGCACCCTCTGCACTAACTTGTGCAAAAGATAGGCTTCCCCAGGAGTTCATTACTGCAGCACAAGTACTGAAAAAATGCACTTTCTGTACAGAAGATACTCTCCGTGGGGAGATGTTGATTGGAACCTTTGGCCATCGTGCTTTCCCATGCAAGTCAGTCCTTTGGTCACATCCCATCCGGGTTGCTACAGAATTCTATATATAGCACAGTGGAGTCACAGTATTCCCAGGGTTGTCAGGAATGGCTTGCAAATTGATCCCTTTGACAGCTACTGTTGGTAAGGTTTTGGTCTTGTTGGGCAGGATGGGAGTGGACAATTTACGTTCTGTGAGTGCCTAGATCTACATTACCAGGTTCAAAGGCTGACAGGTTTGGGAGCTTATCCTGGCTTGGGAGCTGACTACATATCAAATTTAGCAAATTAGAGAACTAATTAGAGATTTTTTGCAATGGTTCCTCTTTACTGGCACACGCTTCCACGTATGTGGGCTAAAAATAGGAAGAAATCTTTTACTTGTCAGTCAAAAGCCTGGGGCAGGTGTGGCGTATGCCAGCCATTTTCCCCCCGTCTGGCTTCAAGAACACTTACTGAAGAGAGTCTCTAGGCGAATCATGCAGGCCACGAAGCCATCAAAGTCAATGGTCAGATTGCTGCAGGCATAGCGGATAGCAATACTGTGTTGGACTTTGTTGCTGAGAGTGAAGCCTATGAGGAAGCAAATCCAAAAATTAGTAAAGGGATGTGATACTGCGTGTCCTTTTCCACTGCACAATTTAATTCCATTTCTTTAGTATGGTTTGCAACTACAGGCAGCCACCAGTGAAGGATTATAGACAATTCATCTATGCAGGTCTATTGATCCTGCAATCTCTGCATTATATACTCCAGTCCAGGACCTATTGTTCCAAAATGGCCACAGACCTAACAATCCATCATAATGCCTTCAAAACCAAGCTGTTCTATGCCATTTCACTGGAGTTTTCTTGTCCTATATTCAGAAGATAAGCACCTAATTAGAGCAGCTTTAATGCACTCTTGGGGCTCCAGCCAAACAGAATCCATTCCAGGGATACTGTTCCATACAAAACATACTTTTATCAATTTTTAAAGCTTCATTTAGACACTGGCTGCAACCCCAATTTGCCAGCCTCAGCGGAGAAACCCATTCACTATAAGTCAGCATTTTCTCACACTTTGCAGAGATTATCCCTCATTTCTCTGGAAAACCTAGCAACTTTTTCTGCCTATAGGAACAATAAAGAGGCTTCTGGCAATTGAAAGAAAAAGATTTGTTCAGGCATACACTCTCATTGAGTAGCCAGCATCCACTTTACTGAGCACATGATAATTTATCTGCATTTGTCAGAGACAGGTGGGGAAGGCCTGAAGCACCATGGAAGCACATACATACTGTATGAGGGAGATCCCAGGACATCTCCAGGCATGCAGATGTCTGGGAAGAACTCCTGCCTAGAACCCTAAAAAGCAAGCCAATGTTGATGGTGGTGAACCAATGGTCTAACAGGGCGTTCCTATGGCTCCAAGAGAGCATCTAGCCTTTTTTGGATTCCCAGACCTAAGGCCAGAAAAGAACTGTGACCTCAGACCCAGGTTTCAGTTGCCAATTCTGGCAAAGAACCATACCAGCTGCTTTTCTGAGTGCTTATGGGGAAAAGAGGGAGGAGTTTGGGATGCAGGGGGGTGACTGGCACCGACAAGAGCCTCAGCCTCCTTCCCTCCCCACCCAAAGTTCTGCAATCCAGCTGCTCTGCAGGGCAGGAAGAACATGAAGCTGACTTTCACCTTTGTACTTCACCTGTTCTGCATATGAGGGGTGCAATCCTCCAAATTCTGTAGAATACCAGCAGCCCACTGGGTTACACCCTAACTTCATAAAAGGCCTCTCAGTTTGGAGAAAAATAGTGTGGCCATTGGCTTAGTTGTTCACAGCATGCAAGTGCTACCACTGTCCTAGCTTTACTGTGTTCATGTAAAAGTTGTAGTAGGAGAGGCAACCATTGTCCCAATTCAAACCTAAATTAGCAGTATCAAATTTACTGATGAATTGTATTTCCACACCAGAGACTCTTTCTGACATCCTGTGTTGAACAACAGTTCCATAGCCATGCATATTGTTTGCCCACTTCACATAATATAATAAGCAGAAAGCATTCTATGCAACTAATCCTCAGCATGATTAAAAAGAATAATAACAAGAAAGGAAATATTTGTATAGTGAGCTGTGGAAATAATTGCTAGCAGACATACTGATGCCTAATGGATAATCAGGCTCTTAAAAGCCTGTTTCTTTCTTCTTAGAAAAAGAAGAGGATAAATGTTTCGCTCTGCTACTCAGGAATGTGGAGAGAAAACATCTTTGTTGTTGTTGTTGTTGAGTTGCAAGGTGATGCCCGACTCTTCGCGACCCCATGGACAACATTCCTCCAGGTTTGCCTGTCCTCCACCATCTCCCAGAGTACACCCAAGCCCACCCCGCCACTCCAGTGACCTCATCCAGCCACCTCAACCTCTGTTGTCCCCTTCTCCTTTTGCCTTCAATTGTTCCCAGCATCAGGATCTTTTCCAATGAGTCCTTCCTCATTAGGTGGCCAAAGTATTTGAGCTTCAGCTTTAGTACCTGACCTTCTAAAGAGCAGTCAGGGTTGATTTCCTTTAGGATTGACTGATTAGATCTCTTTGCAGTCCAAGGGACTCTCAGGAGTCTTCTCCAACACCATAATTCAAAAGCATCAATTCTTCGGCACTCAGCCTTCCTTATAGTCCAACTCTCACAGCCATACATTACAACTGGGAAAACCATAGCTTTGACTATACAAACTTTTGTTGGCAGGCTGATGTCTCTGCTTTTTAGTATGCTGTCTAGATTTGCCATTGCGTTCTTCTAAAGGAGCAAGCATCTTTTAATTTCTTGGCTGCAGTCACTGTCTGCAGTGATCTTGGAGACCAAGAAAATAAAATCTGTCACTACCTCCTTTTCTTCCCCATCTATTTTCCAGGAAGTGGTAGGACTGGATGCCATGATCTTAGTTTTTTTAATGTTGAGTTTCAAGCCAACTTTTGCACTCTCCTCTTTCACCCTAATCAAGAGACTCTTCAGTTCCTCCTCACTTTCTGCCATTAGAGTGGTATCATCTGCATATCTGAGGTTGTTGACATTTCTCCCAGCAATCTTAATTCCAACTTGCGATTCTTCTAGCCCAGCCTTTCGTATGATGTACTCTGCATATAAGTTAAATAGGCAGGGTAACAATATTCAGCCTTGCCATACTCCTTTCCCAATTTGGAAGCAATCAGTTGTTCCATATCTACTTCTAACTGTTGCTTCTTGACCCACATACAGGTTTCTCAAGAGACAAATAAGATGGTCTGGTACTCCCATCTCTTTAAGAACTTGCCACAGTCAAAGGCTTTGGCATAGTCAATGAAGCAGAAGTAGAAGTTTTTCTGGAACTCCCTGGCTTTCTCCATGATCCAGCACAGGTTGGGAATTTGATCTCAAGTTCCTCTGCCTCTGCGAAACCCGCAGTTCCCCCAGCCCCTCTCTCAGGGCCATCCCACAGGGTGATCAAAGCCGTTTGCTTTCTGAAACCAGGTCTGAATCCCAACTGAAACAAATAAATCTGTTTCATTCAAGAGTGCCTAGAGTTGACTAGCAAACATCCATTCAATCAGGAAGGAGATGTTGGCTGTTGGCCTATAGTTGTTGACCTGATCTGGGTCCAGGTTAGGTTTTTTCAAGAAAGGCCTAGTTGCCACCACCTTTAAAGATGCCAGTCCCTCTCAAGGAGGAATTTACAAACACTTGGGCTCAGACAAATTTTCCCTCCTTATTAGATATGATAAGCCATCGACGAGAAGGATCAGGCACACAAGGAGTCAGCCAGACTTATTGAAGCATCTTGCCTGCACCTTCAGGCCTCAACCACCAATAAAACTAGATGAGACAGTGCTGTGGGCACCTCTACTAATGGCTTAATAACTGTGGTGTCCAATTTTGATGGATTTCAAAACTTTATCCTTAAAGGGCCATGCAAACTTGCCACAACATGCTGCTGAGAAATCCAGCATGTCTCTCCTTGCTTCAGACTGCAGCAGGCCATAAACCACTGGCAAAGCCTTCCTTGCATGACACTGAGAAAATGCAATGGCACTGGGACAGAAACTCAGTTTGCCCCCATCACCACCGCACAGTAGGCTCAGCAATGATCTCTAACCTGTACTCAAGACTCAGCATAAGTTTCCCCAACCTGCATTTCTGGCTTCTTCCCATTTATTTTGTTGCCATCAGCTTGGGTGTATCCCATGAAGCTGGCCAGGTTCTTCTCAGAGGGAGCTTTGGCATGATTATATCAACTGCCAGAGTCATCTCTGTATTCCACAGAATGACCTGGACTTCAACAGGAGCACCAGCCACGCCAGAAGGAAAATCCCCTGGAGTTGTGCTGGATCAGAGCAAGAGACTATCTATTCCAGTACCCTGCTCTCCTAGGGGCCAACCAGATGCCTGTGGAAAGCCCACAAGCAGCTCATGAATCGAATTGCATCCTTCTGTTTGTGTTCCCCAGCTACTGATACAAAAAGGCATATTTACTAGCTTTGAAACTAAAGGTAATATATAGCCATCATAAATAATAGCCATTGAAAGCCTTCTATCAGTAATGCCTGCTAAACTTTCCTGAAAGAGGTCTTAGATTATATATGCAAGATCCCCTTTACACCTTTCTTAATAATGAAATTATCCTTGGAGATAGTCACACAAAACCCACCACCACCATGTGATGAAAGAACATGCAAATGGAGCTACATGGGCTCTCTCTCCATGGCTACACCACACGATGCTGCCACCGCCTATGGTAGCAATGCCACCCATGCATTTGGATGGTGTGGGAAAATACTCTCTACTAATACTGATTTACAGATGTAGACTTACTCCATACAAGCAGGGAATCGATATCAACCTACCTACAACAGGATCAACATCTGAGGCCTTCTTCTAAGTGCTTTCCCCAAGGAAGGGTCAGAGGATGGCAAAAAAGGAGACGGACTTCTTGGTGGTAGCCACCAATTGAGGAATCTCTCCCCAGTGAGGTCTGCCTGGCACCGACATTCTTATCTCTTTGGCACCAGCTTAAGATTTCCTTGACTCCCAGGCGGTTGACAGAATATGATGGGATATTTATGTTCTGTCAGTAGTTTTATCAGGTACATAATTTTAACTGTTTAAAATTATTGTTATTTTTTTAAATTAAAACATTACATTTTAATATTTTGAATTTTGGGGGTACCGTTCCTGTGAATAGCCCAGAGAGTTTTCAGTATGGAGAACATAGAAATGCAGTGCATGTAATGAAATTATTGGAGAAAAGTCCACCTCCTCATGTTGAGGAACTCTATGCAAGAGCATTTATTCCCATGGCGAGTTCTTTCCCACACTGTCCTGAAGTGATGGGGGACATGGCTGCAGGGGCTGGGACTAGCTCACATGTCCCCTTGTACATTCATTCAATTCATGGGGCAGGCAATGCTACTTTTAGTTTCCATGCCAGTTTAGGGAAGGGAATTTCTGATTCAGCTGAGAAGAGGTATTGAGCCCACTATCTAAATAGCTTAAGGTGCCATCCTATGCATATTTAGACAGAATCACTTAGGGCACAATCCTATGCAAGTTTAACCACAGCTACTTGGGGAATGTGAAAGATTCTCCTTTCTCCTTTCTAAACATGCGTAGGTTTGTGCCCTTAACTGTAAATGTTAATTGCTTTTCTGTCCAGGGAATTATTGGTTTTTTGTAAAACTGTAAATGAGATATACTGGGGAAATTCAGCAGTATATGCAGCAAAAATGTGGTGCTTTTCAGCCTCTGCTGCATTGCCACTGAAATTCAGTGGCACACCCGATTCTTTCACCACAGGTGCCGCCACAGTGGCAGGCATGCAGCCCCTAAGGGAGGGGGGGGCGTTCAAGGGGTAGAAAGTAGTCTCAGATCCACCCAGATTGTCAATCCCTGACCTGTGCCGTATTTTTAATTCAAGCAGGGCACCAGTGAGGCCTATTAGGCCAGGCCTCATGGGAGCCATACTTGAACGCACAATGCAGAATGCCGTGCAGCATTCTAGGGATTAATGGCAAGAGTAGAGGATTCCTGGGAAGACAAGCGACTTTCCCCACAGCATACCAACCTGCTTCCTTGAGAGCATTTCTCATTTCATGCGCATCTATGGTTCCGGAAAAGTCAGTATCCACTTCCTTGTAGATTTTCTAAGCCAAAGAAAAGGAAGAACCTGTTGTTTACTATATATTTAGTTAATTCCAGAAGATATATCTGTCAGCCAGGATGTGCAACTACTGCTCCTGCTAGGCAAGGGAGTCTGTTCTCTCCGAAAGTGTTAATGACTGGTGTGGGAGGGGGTTTAATTAACTAATGGCAAGCTGTGTGCCCTGGGAAACTGTTCACACAGGACTGGCAGTTCGCCCACCCCCATGGCAAATAAACCCTTCAGAAATCACCCCTCCCCCTGGCAAAGGCAGTAATAGCAAACTCTACTGAGATTAATACTTTAAAAGAACAACAGATACTTTCCCATGCCAAATGGTTTCTTATCCAGCTCTAACTGTGTAATTAGAAGCTATTCTGGCTTATAACTCAGTGGGAAGCTCTGCCATGCTTTTTCTTTCATACTTTTTACAGTAGAGGGAAAGCAATTAAAATCTTGAGTGCTGAGGGGCCTGATAAGGAATGCATGATGAAACAGAGTGCTAATCTGCTTATTTTAGTTGTATGACATTACTGTAATTTTCATGTTATTTCCAAGCAGATGCCCAAAAGGCCAGTGGAAAGAAGTTCAGCATCGCCCACCTTCCACCACACTGTACCCACCGCGTACCCCAGATGCTCACTCTGAGGTTGCTCTCCTCAAATATCATAATGTGAATCAAACACTGAAAAATGTAAACGGAGGGCCACAACCTAGTTCAGGCAAAGGGATCCATCACAGAGCAGCCCATGTCTTCTTTAAAGCTTAGCAACAACCACAGGGACAAACCGGCAACAGACCAGAGCAATAGGAAGGGGAATGATCTTTCTCCCTGATCAAAACCCTCTCCCACACAAAGAGAAGTGCAGCTAATAGCTCCTCTGAGGGAGAAAAAAAGCCAGACCCCCACACCTGCCTTCCCCCAGCCCCCAGCAAGACATGAGCATCTTGGAGACATGGCAGGATTTCTTCAAATGTGGGAATTGTGCCAAACAAACAAGTTAAGCCTTCATCTTGCTCCATGGCTGCATCCAGTTATCCTTGCTGCTTTTGATCTTTCAAAATACTCCGGAAAATCCAGCCAAAGCACCCAAATAGGGATCCCAGGTTTTCCTGGGTGGAGGCTGGAGCTAGCTGCAAGGGCAGGCATGGGGAGGGGAGGGACAAGGGGCCCCTGACTTTGCCCCTCCTCTTCACCTGCCTCCCACTCTGGTTCAAGCAAGAGTGTTGATGAGACAGAGGATGAGGAGATGCTGCTGTTCCCTTGCATTCTGGCTCTCTCTCTGGCAAGCAGGGGGTGAAAGCAGGGATGGAGAGCAGAAGCAGTTGGTGCCAGCGATGGTGAAATGGGGGGATCAGTGTGGAAGGGCGTCCATGGAAGGCATCTTGCTCAAGGGCCCTCGAAAGTGGTCTTGGTGGAGTCTGCATCAAAAACTGAACTTCAAAGAAGTTCAGCCCCGGGATGCTGAACCAATCCATAGATTCTGACCCAGAGACTACCGCTGGGTATCTGTGTGGAGAGAACAACAGTGATTGATTCTGCATGGCCGGAAGGAGAGGAGGTGGGTACAAAGATATTTGGTGGGTAATTAATTTCTTCCGCATATGTATATTTTGAGTTTACACCCAGTCTGTGGCTAGGTTTGCTCATTTTCTTGACTTGCCTTCTCTACACAACTTCTGAATTAGTTGCCAGGGATTCAGTTTGCTTTACAGCTTATAGTATGGCTTGGTTCACTTTTTTAAGTTACCTGCTTTCCATGGGTTTTGATATTTCTGCCATGGAATCACAGTTTGTCAATCAGAGTAGAGACAGTTGTCCTTAGTACTTTTCATTTGCAAAGTCAGTGAAGGTTTTCTTCAGGTGACCTTTCAATGCTTAATCCCTTAACATGTGCCATACATGCTGTTAATGTGGTGTGATGTTGCCCTGTTTGGCTTGCCCTGTTATCTTCTAGTTCTTGCTTTGTGCTTTTGACAGTCTGTAAACTCTAGACTATCCCTAGTTCAATTCAGGTACCCAAATTTTGTCTGTTATAGATTATAAGCTCACTTGAGTGAGATGCACAGAGTTTAAGCAGGCAGGAAGCATTTGAAAAATATAGAGCACTGCCTGTGGAAAGTAACACACACGTGAGCTCAATCAAGGTGCAGAACCTCAGGCCCAGGGCCCAAATCTGGCCTGGCTCAGGTAGGGATGTGCTGAAGCCTCACAGAATCCATCCTCCAGTATTTCTGGACTTTCTCTCATAGTCAACCTTGTCTTGGAAAGTGAGCCAAGCCAAGAAGATGCCTGTGAATGCTCACAGAATGAGGGCTGAGCCCCTGGTGACTTCCTTCTCCTCATGTGCAACAACTCAAAGGAGGACTGCTGCAAGAGGCATGGAAGAGGGAGGCTGCTTGCACAGCTTTCCCACAGGGCTCCATTCCCAGCAAGTGCTGCACAAACAACCTTCTTCCATGTCAGGGGCAGCAGCCCAAACAAAGGCCGCTGCCCTTGGTGCAGAGGAGAGGGGCTGCTCGTGCAGCTGGTCTCACAGGGTCCAGTGCCTGGTGAGCCCCATGCAAACACCGCCTGCCCTCTCCAGGAGCTGCATCACAGGGGACCAGAGTCAAGCCAAGCCCAAGGAAGTCACAGACCTTTTGCCTTTGACCTGCCCCACACGACCCCGTGGCCCCCAAGAGCTTCTCCAAAGTGGAATTTGGTTCAAAACCTCCAAACTAAACACTGATGTCGGGCCTTGCAACCCACAGCTACAGATCATCCTGCTCCTGTCCTATAAAGGCCTGTTTCTTATCTGCATATGGATTTATTTAAGTTGCACTTGTGAGATGTGGGGGTTTACCAAATATCTCTGAATCTTCATCCAAAGTATCTTGAATTCTACTAGTCCCAAGGTACCGGTTCCATGGTTCTGGAAGGTGTTAAGGTCTAGCTCAAGACTGCAAGGAACTCCCCTCCCCACCCCCCGCCCTTAACCAGTAAGAGCTTTTGAATTGGATAGAAATGGATGACTCATTAAAAAGTACACTGTGCCACTCTAAGTGATGCATGAACCTGCACTTTCAGCATACCCAGGGGAGACACACCTGCTGTTTTCAATTTGCTTAGGTAAGGATGTGTGAAGATCGCTGGACTCTCTTTCGCAAAGGGATTTATTATCATTTTTGTTGGGCTACATAGATCATGCTCACCCTCTGGACTATAAAAAGCAGCCATCTGTTTTACGTCTTTTTATAAAAGAACCAGGTTTAAAACCGGACATGCACTTTTTAGGTTACACACATCCTACAATTGCTTATTATATTGCTATCAACTCCTGTCTTTGGAAAGTTGGTGGCAAGCACCTCCTACTGGTCTATTATGCAGGCAGGTATGAGGTCCACAATAATAATTTTGCAACATTACAGAACAGGTCCCAAAATACTTATTGTGGCACTTATTGCTGAATTGCACATGCTATTGAGCTGTGACAATATGCATCCTTATCCATGCAACACCCTGGGCATACTTCCAAGCAAGCATGCACAGAATCAGGCTAGATAGGTGCAATGCACCTCCCACTGATTTCAGCATATATGGACAGTTTGTGGATAATGTGAGTGACCTTATTTATTTATTTGTTCTATGTATATCCTACCATTTCCCCCACCTCCCACAGGAAACACAAGGCAGCACAGATGATCTGCCTCCTCTCCATTTTATTTGTATACTAAACCTGTGAAATAAACGAGGCTGAGGAGTCGTGACAGGTCCAAAGACACCAGGTGAGCTTCATGGCTCAACCCCTTGTTCCTCTTGCCTGGTCTAATTGCACCACACTGGTGGCTGGATAGAAGAGGACAAGCGTGCCCTTGCCATACCCAAATATGTTTACCCAGTGACCCTGTGATCCATAAACAGTGTCCAGAGGATCACAAAATGTTTCAGAGTCTGAGCTCCTATGGGGGAAGCCTGCTTAAACATCAGAGCTGGGACTTCACACCCTCCTCCCACGCCCGCCCTTCACAGGAAATAATGCACTGGCTGCTTCTCTGAGGTCCTCAAAGCAGCTTTGGAGGTTTAGTATGCATTTGGAGAGAGGGGAGTAAGAAGGCTAAGGGACCACTAGGACACTCCTTGGTAGTGCCAGTCTCCCTAGTCAGAATAGTCAAAAACTGACCAGAAAGAGAAAGAGGGGGAGGAAGGGAGAGAGAAAGAGATCTTAGCTTATTCAGATCTCAGCTGAGCCCACCTTGGTCCAGTCTAGTATATTTTCTTCTATGCAAATACTCTGAGATCTGCTAAAGCTGCAAGATGTGTTCCTCTGGATAATAGCTCGCCCTCTCTACCAGGCTTTCCGCTGTGGCTTTCCGCCAGCCACCTGGCTGCACATCTATAACAAATCCATTCTTGCATCTTAAGTCATTTACACCGTTAATTACTCTCCTGTGGGAGAAGAATACACAGCGACCACTGGCAGGTCCTCCATCTCTTAGTTGTGCCACACTTTCTGAGCCATATGGACAGGCAGGACTGGCACTGCTTTCCCCATGTATCCTCTCCCTGCAGCTTGCTTGAATTCTCTAGGCATCTTCTTCATGTGTAAGCAGAGAGCAACATATGGTCCAACTGGACTAGAACTACATCCAGGTTATACCACCAGCAGCAGCAGCAGCCCAGACAATTGCTGCTAAGTCCAGGCAGGGCTGCCTTGCGGAGATGCTCCTGGGTGAGACACAAGACCAGAGAACCAACCAGCAACCCCTCGAGTAGCAGTGACGGGTCACTCCCTTTGCCATAAGATCTACACACCACATTTTATGCCTATGGCAAGTGGAGACGGATGCACCAGGAAAATGAAACACGTAAATCTTTCCTTATCTAGTTAAAATGTTCGCAAGGGAAATCCAGTAGAAAAGAGTGACATTTTAAAGGATACATCTAAGAGGCTGATCATCTCCCTGCAGGTGTTTATGTTGAATCCATCACTTTTAATGTCTGTTCCTATACAATAAAGGAGAGGCAAAAAATGTTAGACAAATATTTATCCGCATCCCAAGGAAACACTAGGGACTCATTTTTGTGTGTGGTTAGCCTCTGCAGTTACGGCAAAATATAGTCCTTGTTTCTGCAGGATGATTTTGAAGACTGTTCAGCATCTCACAGAAATATTGAGATATTCAGTGACAATCCAGATGCTGTAGTGCTTTTAAAAAGCACATGCATCTTTAGTTTAAAAACTTCTGTAAAGAACATATAAACACACAAGGAGGAAAACAAATAATCAAGCAGACTCGAGAGGACTTTGGAAACCTAGCCTTAAAATGCTGTAGAAAATAATGCTCCTAATATTGGCTATTGCATTTGGTTAATGTGGATTTTAATCAAATATGGTTAAAATATTTATTGCATGTTAATGACCTCTTATTTGGAGTGTCTCTACACAAGGCATTTATGGGGCACTAATGATTCCTCATTTGAAGCTGCTTCACATCACGGCCTCCTGCCCCAAAGTCTCTCCCATATTTCCCAGGCATTTCCATGGCATGCTTTAGAATGAGGCAAGTCTGCTATTATTTGGAAATTGCACCATGGAAAGCTTGTCTACTTGTGTATTTTCCTGCAGCACCATCTTGTGCTTTTGTAATGGAACTTATGGAAAGGCAGAAAAAGAAACTACCCTGGGGGCAGGAGACACCTGTCAAGGAGCTGATCCTAATGCCTCAGTAAAGTGGTGGGTTAGATGCCTCCTTCAGAGAAGCCCACGGGCTTCTGCATGGATTCCGTTCACTTGTGGTGGAACCAGCTGTGATCGTTGTGCAGCAAGCTCCTCTGAGCTATTCCTAAGCAAATTTCTTGTGTTCTGTGATCCACTAAAATGTTAACTCTTGCCATTCCCCTGACACTCATGGTACAAATAAAGGACATGCATAAGATCCATACAATATCCAGCATTCACACTGACCCCAATTTATTTTTACAATAATCTGCAAGATCCGTGCCATATGCCACAGAAAGTGAACAATTTTGGAAGGGTCAACAGTTAGTATATTTGCTTCTCTTACGTAAAATTTATCTATCATACTGAAAGTTATATAGGAATCAGTAGGAACAAGAACTAGTGTAAGTACTCGCATACTGGCTGCTATGGATAAGCACATATTCAGACTCAGTCTGCACATGGTTCTGGGTAACAGGTATTTGCAGTCCTCATGATCGTCTTCCGAGTGTTGAAACATCACTTGCAACTTACTTTTGGTTATAACTCTGTTCAAAATAGTCTGAAGTTCATTTGCAGTCATCTCACAGTCCTGCACAGAAGAGACAATTTGGAGACTTAGCTATTGCTTACAGTAAAAGAGGGCACAGCCATAGCCACCAAACCTACTCTCAGAGCAAGCCAGGCTTCTACCTAAAACCAGTTTGACACAAAACACAAAACCCCAAGGGAGATTTCTTCACTCCAGCCAAATATTCCCTAATTAATTAGTAAGTCCAGAACCAGGCCCTTTTAGCTAGGCTCCAAAGTAATTGCAATTCCATTTTCAATGGACATAATGCTCGGTTGTTGGGTATGTGTTGCAGTTATCAATGCTTTTGGTAAACTGTCTGGTTATTCAGTCAACTGGTCAACATCTGAACTGATACCAGTTCGAGATACAATCTCACACAGGGCATTAGCCGCCTGGCAATTCTGACACTGCATGAATTCTCTTACTTGCTGCGCAATAGTTACTTCTAGAGGACTATTATACTAACAGTCTTCTAGGAGTGGCTTAATTAATAAATAATTAAGGTAAATTTGAATAAGCTGATTAATAAGATATCCCAGGACATAGGTGGACATCTTTAAAGTTAAGCTTGTGGGGTAAGGTTAATAAGATAAATATTTATGAAGATAAATATCATACCTAGGACTGGTTTACATGTTATGTGCCATTCGCTTAAATATACACAGAAAATATTTTCAGATGTTTTTCTGAGGTTCCTCTCTATCACACATATCTTTGAAAAGGATACAACATTCTATGATGGAAGTTGTGGTGGGTTTTCCAGGTTCCGTGTTGTATCACCGGACCTATTTGCTGCCCTGCACTACACTTTTGGGTCTTTTCTACTCAGACTGCATTTTCCACAATGGCCAGTTTCGGAATCCTCCTGCCACGGCCCCCTGTTCAAGTGGATAGCATTAGGCTCCTGGCACATTGAAACACTGCTCAGCAAGAATGAGCAAGTTGCTCAAGATGTATGGCAGGCAATATGGTGTCAATTCAATGGCATGTTAACCTCTTCTCCCAACCCTAAATGGACCTTATAGCAAAATGCAAACTTAAAAATCAGTTTAAAAAATGTTTTGGTGGCAGACCAAGATAGACAAGCTGATTTTTACTTTGGATCATTTAGTAGGGGAAGGTGAGAACTCTTATCTTCTGATTTGCCTGCAGCAACTGGGTGGGAATATTTACAAATGCAACATTAGCTAGAATCTCAGTTTATCCTGTAGCAATGGCTCAAAGACTTAACAGATTTTGATCCAATGTCATTCAGTCTCAGGTGGACACATATATATGGATATCTGGTCTGCTTTTGATGAAGCTTATGTTGATACATCTGGATTTATAATCAATACACCTGGATTTATGCTGTTACCAGTAACTGTTAACTTCAAGGGGATTATATTTTGGGAGTTTTCCTGTTTTTGTTTTATTTATTTTTATTTTGTTTCAGTGAAATTTACAGTAAAAATGAGTTTAAAAATACCCACTGTGACCCTCTTACCTCTCCAGAAAGCTTTTGAAACAGGCCCTTGAACTCATTGTCTATGTCCTTTCCTGCAACATGAGGCTAAAAAGAGAAGAGATTTAGAATAATACTACATTTTTACAAGAACATCTTGGAGTCTGAGGCTTCCTGTGAAGGACCCCCTTGTTACCAAAAGAAGCTCTGAAAGGTGAAGATGTCTACTTAATGCTGCTGTATATAAAATCGTATTAATCTTATGACTGTGAAGCAGTACTGCCATGAACCAGATGTTACAAAGGTTGTATTTTTTGTGAAAAGTTCGCTGAGTCTACTGCATTGTCACCCATTGGGTTCTTGGGCAGTAAAATACAGTGCTTCAGCTTTCTGTCAATGCAAACAAAAGCTTTGTTTTCCCTGGCAGAGCTACTCCAGCACAGAATAAGAAGTCTTTGGCTCACCTTAGCTCAAGGTGGCCAAATTAAATTGTTAATTTGACCTTATTTTAGTTATTTACCTCATATGGATTGGCAGCCACAACATCACCCATTTCCCTGTGATTAAAAAAACACAATCATAGTATTATTGCTATTGTAATATAATCTGTCTAGCTAAACTTCTGCTTTTATAGTATTCTGAGTGGTTTACAAACTCAAAATTACAAAGAAATTAAGCAAAAACAAACTATACACACATAACCTGACAAAAGTGCTACTGAAAACAATGGCACCCTAACCCAACCATCAGCACAAAACCCAGTTTTAAACAGCAACAGAATCATATACTAAATGGCTGTTGAAATAGAAATGATTTTAATCTCTAACAGTAAAGATGGATCTCCATTTAGCTTGTGTTACGCTCCCGTGCTTGCTCTTCGGAGATGAAGTCAGAGTGCAGGATGCCTGTGGCAGGTCTGCATGGGAGCAGACAGTCCTTAAGGTAACCAGATCCAGATCAGATCGACCCAGATCTTGTCCTTTAGAGCCCTTAGTGCACCCTTCCCCGACCTGCTGCCCTTCACTTGCTTTGGACTACAACTTCCATTATGTCTGATCATTGACTCCACTGGCTGGGACAGATGAGGTTGAAGTCTGGCACCAGGAATGTACTAGGTTGGGAAAAGCTACTGCATGATGCAGTTGTATACACATTCACCTGAAAGCATGGCCCAGTATGGGACTCCCATCTGGGTGGACATGTGTAGGGTGGTTTGGGATTAGGTTACCTGAAAAAGAGTCTTTTCTTGTATAGTCCTGCCTTGAACTTTGAGGCCATTTTCCTCACAGGTCTTGTTCCATGGGAAATGAAGTGAGGTGCTGTTAGGAAGCAGGCCTTCTCAGCAGTGCTCTTATGGCTATGGAATATCCTCCTTGGAGAAGCTCACCTGGCCCTTCTCAAGGGTCCTTTGGGCTTCAGGGGGATGCTTCATTTTACTCTCTTGGCCTTCAGAAATCTTAGCATTTCAATTGTTATCCCATTGCTTTTATACCGGGTATTTTTAATTACACTGTCTTGGGTTGTGTGTCACTCTCAGATGGAAAAGTTTATGTTGTAAATGTTTAATGATATTTTAAATATTGCACCTGATTCATTTTATCTTTATGAGTCACTCAAAAAAAACTATGTTATCGGGAACATAAGTGCATAAAAAGAAAATAAATATCTTGACCAAAATATTCATTCCTGTGCCAAATTGTGTAAATTTGCTTTTTCTTGTTCCCGTGATTCTTGGACTAAGCAAGGACCTTCCCGAAGTACTGGTATATTTGATTGCAGTCTGAAAGGAGGAACAGTTTAAACAGGTGAAGGAAGGGAGAAGAGAGTGGAGGAGAAAGATTGGTTAGGAGGCTGTTCTCTCACCACATCCACAATTTCTCTCATGTCCTATTTACATGTATATACATACTGAAGTCTGTCTTTGCCAAACTCGCAGGCTTGTCCCAACTACCTTCTGGCACATCTCTTAACAGAACACTCCAGTCACTATGATAACAGGAATGTTAGAACATATGTCCCAACATTGCACATTCTGGTAGAAGATACATACTGAGTTTTAGCCTGTTTCTCAGAGAAGATTCTGAGGCAGAACTCTCCATCTTTAAAAGGCTCAAAGGTGGACGGCACAATAAGATATTCTCCCTGAGGCAGATGGAGGCGGTTCGAGACTTCACGCAAGTTGACATATGTGTCAGAGCGAGCTACAGGTCTGTTTGTCAAGAAGAACTCTCTGCTTAGATGAACATCAGTTTGATTTCCCAGCTAGTGAGAAGAACAAGGTAGAAGCATTAATTTTAAACTGCTACCAAGACATAGGGCACAACCAACTTTTGGGTCCATTGAATGCATAAGCCATTCATGTTAGACTTCAGTGACTACCTCTTCCTGCCAAGATCTATTGGACTTCTGAGCATCTCTTCAACTTCATCTTGCTTATTTTTTCTACTGGACACCAAGAGGTATTTACTAAAGGTACTTACTACATTTCTTAGGATGAGTTCAAAGCATGCTTAGGTAAGTTCAGAAGCCTATCAGAAACTCATTTTGATTTGCAAATGGAATAAGCAAAAAATAATGGGTGCCTGAACATATCCTTCTTCCTCTTTCTTTCTATATACCTGAACAAAATGTACATGACCGCAAATGCAAAGAGCAGCAAGGATAAAGTTGGGTGAAGGACATTTATCCATATCTTCCATGTTGTTTTATTCATGTCCAAGCTGATATTTTTCAGATGCTTTACCTGTGGCCACATTCCTAACTGCCATGTGAATGCACTCTCATGGCACGTGTTTCATGCAGACTGGTGACCACAACTGACTGTGCAGGGTATACGTAATTATAATTTTTCATGGAGCCCATTTCTTCATTAACTGTTTTTCTACATTCTTTAATAGGTTTAATATCAAGTGCTTATGAACAAGATGAGATCAGATACAGCAAAGACTGTGTCATCCTTCTGAAACCATACAGCCAGGACTAACTTGCTGCAGGGAACTGCAGAGCTTCAAGCCTTGGGTCCCCATCTGGCCCTCCAAGTTTCCCTGGATGGCCACATTCCCTTTCTCTGGTTCTATAGCTTTTCTCCAAATGTTTGGTTTCCAGCTTTGTGGAGGCTTTTCTCTCATTCTAAAAGGTTGCACTGCCTCTCCTAAGGCTGTTAATCTAATCTAAAATATGGTGGAGGTTTTTGTATTTGGGCCCCACCAAAAGGCCACTGAGAGCTACTCTGCAATGGAATTCATCACAAGGGCAGAAAGAGTTTTGACCCCCTTGATGTATTGCTTGCCCTGTTGGCTATGAGCTGAGGATCAGTGCTTGGATCACCCTCTTTACCACACTCAGCCTGCACAGAAAGTGCTGCACCAGCTAAATCTCTGAGGTCATAAGAGTGATCTCAGAAAAAGAGTAAAAAGGTCATGCTGGGCAGGAGACCTGATCCGCCAGGATGCAGTGGGTCCCCGTGGTGCTCCAGCCATCTTTCTTCCCTGTGCAAAGCACTGCGGCTTGATAATAAGAAGCCTGTAATCTGCCACGTTTGGAGGCTAATGGACATCCCCATTGGGTGGTCCCCTGCATGTCCTGCAATATTTATTCCATCAATGTGTCACCAGCCCCCATTCCTATCATCCCAGTCATTTTCACCTAACAAACTTAGGAACAGGTGCATTAAGTCAGCTGCTTTGCAAATAACGGAGAAATACCTTTTTGCCTGTGTCAATATCAAAAAAGCAAATTTTCAGTGTGGAATTTCTTATGCTCCTCCCATTGAACATAAATGCTAAACCAATAGCTATGCTTACAATATTCAAGCATCTTCTGTCTAACTGATAACATAAATCTGTACCAACACTATGCAAGCATGAGTTACAAAGCAAATGAGCTGCCACACATTGAACAAAGGTAGGAAAGCCAAACAATCAGTGTTTGAACAGCACCTCTGAGGCATAAGCTTGCCTTTCAAAGTGTGACACATTAAGGCAGTAAGACAAGACAGGTGGAACTTGCTTGGAACCGGGTGTGTTGCATTATCTACTGAAAGTATATCTTTCTTACTATGGTCTTAAAGCAAACACGCTATAGGCATTAAAAACTGAAATCAGATGTGAGTTTACATGCTAGCTTAGTGTGTTATATTTTCCACTATTTAACTCATAGGGTAGGATCCAAGCTTGCCCGTCCACCAGCAGAAAACACTGCTCTTAGTTCATAAAGCAACTGGAAATTAGAAAAAAAATACTCATTTCCAGAATGAGGCTCGGGAGTATGTACAAGGGAGCTCCATTGACCTCTTTTTAAATTTAAGTTATGTCTGTGGATTTCAACAAAACCATTAGAAGAAAAAAAGAAAGAAAAATACGATAAACTGAAATGAACCACTTGCATTGACTTGTCACAGTAAATGCCCTAAGTGTGTCGTGAGAGGAAGTGCTTCTTTTGTCTAACCTGACAAAATCGATTTTGTTCCAGTTCCCCAAAGTTCCAGTATTAAGAAAGAAAAATCTTGCCCCTCTTTCTGTGCTATCCATGAAAAGCATAATGGAAAACAAACAAGCAAACTAATTTCAAGTTTGTTTTTAAAAGGCAATAACTAAATCAACCCATCACAATTAATTTTTTGACTACATGTTAACCCTGTGGTCAGTCAATGTATGAATGAGATGTGATATGTTAACAGATGTGACATTTAAAAGCTAGTCATGTAGCAAAGCTGTTTCAAAACTGTAGATTTTGTGTGGTGTATTGATCAGCGTGTTGGACTGGGACTCAGAAGAACCAGATTCTAGTTCACTGGGTAACTTCGGGTCAGCCACTAATTCTTGGTCTAAACTACCTCATAGGGTTGTTGAGAGGATAAAAGAGAGAGAAGGAGGAATATGTAAGCTGCCTCAGTTCCTCACAAGAGGAAAAATGGCAGGGTATAAATTAATAATAAATACATTAAAGAAAGCAGTTTCTCCCACCTTCAGTTTTTGCCTTGGCTGGGGAAAGGGATTTGTAGGAAGGAAATTAATGGTTGTCCTCTCCTGTAACAGGTGTGGCCAGCCATTTTTGAACCCAAATAAAGATGGTGTTGAAGAGCTGAACTTCACTTTGCAGCATGGAAGCCTCCCTTTTTAAAATATGTTTAATTGAAAACACAGCGATAAATTGACAGTCAGACAAGAGGTGGCAAAAAAGAGATCCACAGGCACCATATTATCCACAGGCACAAGTATCACAGGAAACACTAGAATTAAGGCATCATAGTTATACTCTCTTGCTACTCAAAAATAGAAAAGAATAAACTGTACACATCTCTAGAAACGATATTTCACGTTTCTCCAGGAAAATAGCAAAGTCTCCACATGTCCCCTTGACATATGTCAGACTGGGAGCATCAACCTTCAAGAAGCAGGAGATGATCTCTATACTTAGCACTGGAAAGGGATGACCATTTTGGAGGATGTATATTTCCAGCATAGTGTGCGTACCTCTTTTGGCACCTGTAAGATACACAAAGAGGCGTAATGAAAGATGTATTTTTGAAAAATCAACAAACAAGCCATTTAATGGATTCAAACAAATTGTTCTTTTATGCCTAACAACCATAATTTGCTTAGCCATGTATGGTATTTCCTAGAAGCATTATTGGAAAATCCAATAATGATTGCCAGCCATTCTGAAATCTAAGCCCAACCAGTGTTAAAAGCAGCTTGAAGACTTCCCTGTTGTTGTTTCACAATCCCCTTGTGCCCTACACTAGCCTTCCCTAATGATGCCCTTGTAATTATGAATATATTGCTTTAAAATACTGCTAAGAAAGAGGACTGCAAATCTAGTCCAAAGGGGGATACAGACAACTCTTTACTCAGTCCTCTAATCTAGTCTCCTTTTGCCTCTGATCTTATTCTCTTAATTTTTGATCCCTCTGAACAGAACCCATGTTATCAGTTCTGAGTATCATACAGCACCTAGCAATAGCTGTGCTGAGGAAATAATGCAATGAGATTTGAAGCAGTACTCCACTTGGGCTCTAAACCCTTCCAGCTGCATTTCCTTTTCTCTCCCTTTTGCACACAATTACACCTGTATGAGTGGCTTCCACATTTCTCAGGTAGAAGGTCAAGCAGCCTACTTGCTTTTCACTTGGGAAGATGGATATATATTACTCACAATCAAAGTTAAATAGCAATTAACGCTTCTTGTAAAGGCAAATTCATTGGCACAGAAAATGTTGATCACTCACTCACTAATATAATCAATCATAGTTACATAAATATGCAATCAGTTTTAGAGGATAATTAATTTTATTACAGTTCAGCATCAGTACCCATAGACAACTGCTTCTTCATCGTTGACATAAACATTTGTCTCCAGCCACTATATTCAGTTATGAAACAGTTTTGTATCTCTTTAATTTCCAAATGGATTGACATGCAAGAGAAACAATATAGGCTATTACAGCATAGACAGATATGACAGTCCAAGTGGACTTCAGTAATAGTCTGGAAGATATTTACTCCCATTGATCTGACTCTTGGTTTAGACTCCTCAGGTTAAGACATTTTTCACAATCAGCCTTTGAGGATGGTTGCTGGAGAAGTTGAGGGTACTGGAACGCATTTATTTATTTATTTATTTATTTATTTATTTATTTATTTATTAAAACATTTTTATGCTGCCCCATTCGCCGAAGCCTTGGGGCGGCTCACATCATTAAGTTAAAATAATTATAATATAAATTAAAAAATATAAATATTAAATTAAAATACAACAATACAGTATAAAATAAGCCGCCCTGGCCAGATAAAACCAATAATGTTAACAGTTAAAATGCCGCTTGAATAAAAAGGTCTTCGCCTGGTGCTGAAAAACAAATAATGACGGCGCCAGGCGGACCTCTCTGGGGAGCACGTTCCATAACTTAGGCGCCACCGCAGAGAAAGCCCTCCTCCGAGCACCCACCCTCCTAATTTCTTTCATGGAGGGTTCCCGGAGAAGGGCCTCCCCCGCTGATCTCAAGGGGCGGCTGGGCATATATGGATGCAAGCGCTCCTTCAGGTAACCAGGACCCAAGCCGTTTAGGGCTTTATAGGTCATCACCAACACCTTGAATTGGGCCCGGACTTCAATGGGAAGCCAGTGAAGCAGACGGAGAACTGGAGTCATGTGAACACAACGCCCAGTCCCCGTCAGCAGCCTGGCAGCTCTGTTTTGATTTACCTTCATATGAATACATGAAACTGTCTCAGTTAGGCCACTGGTCCACCTAGATTAATATTGTCTGTTCTGAGTGGTAGCACTTCTCCTACATCTGCTGTCTGATCCTGGAGACTGAACCTGTGGCCTAGCTTAAGCACAAGATGAGTTCTATCACTAAGCCAGCCTTCCCTAACCTGGTACCTTCCATGGCTGGCTGGGAGAGGCTGTGAGTGGCAGTCAAACTGGAGGGAACAATAATGGGGAAAGCTGCACTACACTATGGCTCCACAAAAGAAATATGAAAGAGGAAGTATACTGCTACTTCAAAAGAGAACTGAGGAAACCTCTGGACCATACACAGCTCTCAGAGGCCTTCGGCAGGAACCACAAAGGTGCCCTGTCCACCACCACTGAATTTTTCACTGCTGCCTGTGGCCAAGTTGGAGGGAGCACAATTGTCCCGAAGATTTGGTACTCAGGGGTGAGTGTCCCTATGTACCTTCTGACTTGTGCACAAGTGCTCTTCATGCATGTGTGCAAGTGCCTATGTGAAAGGCAAAGGTTATGTGCAAGAGGCTGAGCAAACGGGACACTGTCCTTGACCACACGCAGTACCAGCACAGGCAACACCCCCTGCCACCTTCAGCCGCCCCAACTTGTATGTTGGTGAACATACAAGCAACCCATGAAAACCATCACATGTTTCCCGGTGGGGTCAGAGAAGCATTGCCCAACCCTTGCTAAAAGATAAAAGAATAAGGAACAATGATTTATGCACCTGATAAAGGGAGTAGCCAATGCTGAGCAGCCCTTCTCCCATCTTCTTCTGCCTCCTGCGATTCTTCTGCATCAGGCCCACCAGCAGCGTGCAACACGGTTCACTCGCAGCTCCTTCGTGGTCATCGTCCGGTTCATTCAGGCAAATCTTAAACTGGGGATTGGTCCAGTATGTTGCTGCCAAGGCCAAAGCATACAAGTACATCAAGTGAACAAGACTGAGGAGGAAATGAATGTAGAAGTGATTTGCTAGTTGTTTGTTTATGATTAATTGATGCATTAATAAATAATAAATGATCTATGCGTGTATTTATTTCTGTTAAATCAATGCATTAATTAATTCAAACATAGGAATGTAAGAACAGCTAGGATGGATCAGCCAATGTTCCATCGAGTCCAGCACTCCATTCACATGGTGGCAAACCAGACCCCTCAAACAGGATGGGTGCAAGACCTCCTCCTGACCAAGCGCAGCTGGCATATTGCCTCTGATAATGGAGGTAGTAGATAGGCAAAAAGGCCAGGAGCCACTGACAGCCTTCTCCTCCGTGAATTTGCCCAGTTCCCTTTAAAGTCACCCGCGTTGGTCCCCATCGCTATTTCCTGTGGCAGTAAATGCCATGGTTTAATGTTGCATAGTGTGAGAAGTAATTCCTTTTATCTGTCCTAAATCTCCCCCATCAGCTTCATGGAGTGATCCTGGGTATTACGGGAGAAAAAGAACAATGTCTTCCTTGCCACTTTCTCCATACCATGCATAATTTTAAACACCTCTATCATGACTCCCCTGACTTGCCTTTTTAATCTTACAATCCAAGATTGAAACGGTTTATCACAGATGAATTACTTCAACATGTTTTTATTCATTCTTTTTTCATTCATTTTTATACTACCCAGCAGCAAAAACTACCTGGGCCATTTACAACTTGATTGTTGATCATTCCAGTTTCTTCTCTACACTTTCCCCAACACAATAATGTCAGGTGCAGTAAGGAGAACTGTACACAACATTCCAAATGTGATTGCATAATGGGAGCACAGTCTTGGCGGTTTTATTTTTGGAGTTCATCTGTTTACAGTAGCTGTGCACTGGGTTGAGATTTTCATCAAGCTGTCCACCACAACGGCAAGATTCTGTTCCTGATGAGTCACTGCTACCTCGGATTCCATCAGTCTCTCCTTGAAGTTGGAATGCTATACTCCAACATGCAGTACTTTTCATTTACCTACATTGAACTACATTTACAATTTTGAAGGCCTTTGCCCCAGCTTAGTGAGATCCCTTTGGTGCTCCTCACAATCCCTTTTGGTTTTAACCGCGCTAAATGTTTTGGTATCATCCACAAAGTTCACAACTTCACTACTTACTCCTAATTCCAGATCCTTTTTGAATAGGTTGAAAAGCATTGCTCAGATTTTGCTTAGAAGTCTTGGTGAGGAATTTTGTCAAAAGCCTTTGGAAGTCCAAGTAAATAATGTCTCCTGAATTGCCCATATCCACATGTGTATTGCTACTCTCAAAGAACTCTAAAAGCTTAGTCAGACAGGCCTTACCTCTGGGGAAGCCATGTTGATTCTTTTTCACTAGAGCTTCTCCCTCAGCTGAAATCATGCTTAATCATGCTTTCAACCAGTTCTCCCAAAACAGATGTTAAACTAACCAGCCTGCAAGTCCCCAGATCCCCCCACCCCACCCAGATCTCTTTTTAAAAATTGCATTCTCCATTCTCCAGTCCTCTGCTACAGAGGCTGATCTGAGGGGTATATTGTACATTTCTGTTAAGAAAGTCAGCAATTTCACATTTGAGCTCCTTAAGAGGATAGATACGATCTGGATCCAGTGATTTATTAACTTTCAGTTATTAAACTTTCAGTTATTAACTGAGAATTTCATCTTTTCTGCACACATCCTTCCTGTATGCATAAGTTCAGCAACTGGGATCTTTTCTGAATCCTCATCTGTGAATATGGATGAAGAGAATGCATGTAGCTTCTCTGCAATCTCCTTATCTTTCCTTAGTACTCCTTTAATTCCATTATCATTCTGTGGTCCAACTGTCTCTCTAGCTGGTTTCTTTCTTCTGATATAATTAAATAATTATTCACTGTTTTCCTTGATGTTGTTAGTGATATGCTCCTTGATATTCATTTATCTATGCTTCTCTGTCAGTTTGCGTATCCTTTGGACAAGTTTGTGTTCCCTTTTGTTTTCTTGATTTGAAGAAGGTTTCCATTTCCTAAAGGAAGGCTTCCTCTCTCTAATAGGTTCCTTAACTTTGCTTCCTGACCATGTTGGTGACCTCTTGGACTTCATGCTACCTTTCCTAACTTGTGGTTTGCATACTTTCTCCCCCTTTATTATTGTGGTTTGAGTTCTCTCCATGCATTTTAAAGAGATTTAACTCTCCTGACTCCCCTTTTCAACTTTTTTTACCAGTTCCCTCATTTTAGAGAGCTTTCCTCTTTTGAAGTCAAACATGACTGTGTTGGCTCTCTTTAACAATCTTGCATCTAACTGTAGATTATATCTGATAGAGCTGTGGTCACTGTTTCCAACTGGTTGAACAACATTTACACCCCACATAATGTACTGGGCACCCCACCTAGGATTAAATTCAAGACTGCCTCCCCTCTGCTTGGTTCCATGTTCTAGGACATCTAGAAATGTAACCTCTCAGAACTGGAACATAAATTTTTCCAGTCAATGTGTTGGGTGGTTGAAATCACCCATCACTGCAGCACTGCCTTTGATGGAAGCCTCCATGATTTCATTCTCCACCTCAGGATCATTTTGGTCTTGAGGACAGTAGCACTGTGATTAAATTCATTTTGGAACCAGCCTCCCTCTCTGGACCTGTGAAATGTACATTTTGGCACTTAGGCCTCTTCAACTGGTTATTGTGCCTCACCTTAAGCTTGTGGCTTATCTCTTCCTGTCCTACATTTCAGCCATCCAAAACTTTCCCCCCTTCATCCACTAGGGGTGATTCAACCTGGGCCAGATGCTTTCTAGTTCCTATCAGCTTTCCCCCAGGGTTCAGTTTAAAAACCTCTGCCACCTTTTTATGTGACTGTTTTAGTATTTTATGTTAATGCTTTATATTTATAACTAATTTATTGTTAACATTTAGACAGCGAGTTATCTCTTTAAAAGCCATCAAGGCAGTGTTCATCCATTTCAAAGAAATAAAACATTAAAACAATTTAAAAACCCAAAAAACATTAAAAGAAAAGTACCAAAACAGTACTTAGTGAATGCTAGAGCTGCAGGGCATAGTTCTTAGGAATTAACTCTACTTTGACTTTCAGTCCTGGCTTCTTGTTAGTTATTCTATGCTTCTTCTTTCTCTCCCAAGTGTTACTATATATTTATTGCAGTAATATCAAGTCAAGCTACTAAGATACTTTTCCTTGAGGAGTAATAACCAGCTGAGAAAGGCTATAGTCATTAACACAAGCCAGTCATTTATCCCCAGGACATTGTTCCTGAAGCATCTCCTGAAAGACGCAACTCTCAAATGCAGCTTGAAAATCAGCCTGTTTAAAACAACGGCAGCAACCACTCACTAACTACAAACTACTCAACTACACCTGTGTTCAGGCATGATGGGTTGTCCATGGTTCCGCATCATTTCCAAATGTACATAACTGAACAAGTTGACAGCCTGAATGATGGGGTGGGATACTGGCTGTCTCCACCTGGGCCATTCATTACATTCAGGATGAATATTATAAATCTAATATATTCACAGGAGAAATGCCCATCATTGTAACATGTGATGCATATGCACGAAGAGGGCTTGTATATTTCCAAAGCCCCTCAGGTGCTGCAGTGATCACTGAGCAATCTGCAGCTGCTCCAAAGGATCCCTACCAGAGGCGACCCGGTGTCAGAGGCGGAAGAGGCATCATTGCTCAGAGGGCAGCAATGTCTCTAAGCACAGTGCTTTCCCTTTCCTGCAGAACCGATTGCCAGCCAATCACCTATATAAGGGAGATGGAGACTGCTGCCGCCCATGGATGCTTGCTCTAATACCGGCTCTGGAGCCCTGCCAGTCTGTTGTGGATGATCCCCCAAATTTAGCTGACTTTCTGCCCAGGTTTGATTCCCCGATGCTGCCCCCCTTGAAACTTTCTGCCTGAGGTCCTTTTTCCTGGAATCAAACCCTTTCCCCTTTCCATACATCCCTTGATTTAAATGCAGGTGCCCTATGAAGATGCACAAACAAACAGAATTTGGAGCACAGGTCAATTAGCATGTGCAAATGGGAGCCCGGGAAGAGGGGAGGTTGGTGCAGTGGACCTGAGTCCCAGCTCTCTGGGGTCCCTAGCACCTCCCCTCTGCCAGGGACTCATGCTGCAGCAGAGGTCCACTGAGCAGAACCTTTAGGAGTTGCTCCTCCTCTTCCCCACTGAAGCTGACTTGTTCACCTGCTCCTCACTCCAGTCCACTGTGCTGGTGAGACAGAAGAGCCACGGGCTACTCCCGACTAGCTCTCTGCCTGGTTGGCAAGCCAGCCAGCAAGAGCATAAACCAGAAAGAGAATGTCAGTAGTCACAATGGTGATGAGAAGGTAGATGTGCTCAGGCAGGGGGCCCGTTGAGGTTGTCTTGCCCAAGCACCCTCCAAAATCTGGAAGCAGCACTCCAGGCCCTGAGGGTTCAAAGACGGCAGCTGGCTGGCCTTTGGGGCACAGAGAAGAACATTGTGGGCCAAGCCTCACAACGCCTTTGGCTTATCTTTATATTTAAATGCAACCAAAGAGCCTTTTTTCTTAAATGACTGTCTGAAGGTATCAATTTACTTATTAAACAAAAGCGCCCATTACCATGGATGTCTCCCCCAATGCTGCCGCAGAACCATCCCTCAGCACCAATGTCACAGTGTGAAATGTGACATTGTTTCCATGCAAACAGTGATTCATGAACTGTGGCAAATACTCAAATAATGGAGAGCGCAAGCTTTCATTATTGTAGCAAGATCAGATGCCATAATATGCCTTCTAGAGTTACATATTTACAGCATGGGACTTTCCATGAAATGGCTCTTACAAGTAAAATCATGTTTTTATTATTCCACAGAAAAGCTATTTTCCCACTTGAAGTCATTTTTTAAAATGCGTAATTAACACACACCATGCTCCTATTCATTTTAATTACATGTTAGAGCTAGAGCCCCATATGGCAATGGATTTAGAAATTAATTTAGCATTAGATAAATAAAAACAAAACTGCTTTGCTAGACTGTTAATATATGCAATGTGTAAACAGTGTGGATTGGTACTTTTTAGCATCGTTATACGATACTGAAAACTAAATAAGATGTATAAATAAACTGTTTTAAAAATATGAAAAACAATTAAAGTAGCATCGTGAACACTATAAAGCAGAGTTTTACATTTGAAGTTTGGGATGTTCAGACATTACATAGGAAGCCAGTAATCAGGAGAAGGTAAGGATGAAACATACATATGTGCATCCAAGCTCTGCTCTGGCCTTGAACACAACCCTGAGCGATATCTCCACTACTTCATCATAAACCCAATTAGGCTGCAGTCTTTCTAAGAATTCTCATGGAATGCTGAAAATCTTACCACTTAGCAAACAAGTTTAGGAAAGGACTGAGAAAATGAATGCTTCTATTTTCAGATCCAGAAGTTGCCATAACATCACACAAAATATGTTCCTGATCTGAAACTAACAGAACTTATTGCCCAGGTGGATTCTGAATTCTGTTTAGTCCAAGCTGAATCGATGCTTTGGGCAGTTTCCAGGGCTGCCACTGTACTTCCATTTAGTGTGCTTTGCCAGCAGGAGCCACCACTAGCGCAAAAGGGAGGCAGCGCTTGGTAATGCAACCCCAGAAATGAGCCAAAATACTCATTTCCAGAACAAAACACGCCAGCTGAGCTTCCTTTTCTGCCAGCTCCGCTGCCCTGTTCTGTCCTTGAAATGAGTATTTAGGCTCAGGTCTTTAGCAAGCACTAGGTTTTCACTAGAAATGAGTCCCACTGGATCTTGTGCAACAATTGATGTTTTCATAGACGCTCAGATGTAAATCGTTTGGCTTGCTTCTAAACAGCAGCACATTAACTGATCGATTGACTGAGTTTGCAGAGTATACTGCAGAGAGATATAAGGTCTGGAAAATCTAGCTTCTCTAAAGCAAGGCAGGTTCCCAGCTATGTAAAGCACCAGAGGATTCAAGCTGCAGGATTCAGGCGCTGCCTGAGTCCCTCAGAACCAGACACACCTGGATCAAGATTGTGGGCATCTGTTCTACCCTGGAGTCTAAGCTAGATGTTGGCTAGCTTCATAAACATACTACATTAGAAGCAGACCAAAACACTAGAGCCTGAGGATCTTCTTGCAATGGGCAGCATCCAAGTTGGATCCAATGCATCACCTAAAGTTAGTCTCTGGCTTTGCTAACATAAAGACAATCATCTATTTTTTTTTCTTTTCTTCTGCTCTCTGCCCCCCTCCAGCAATCTGTGTGGTTCACTCAGAGCAAGAAACACTTTTCAGGTAAGACATTTATATTTTCAGGAATTGGGGATAGCCATTGCTTCTTTATCCCACAGTGCTAAGCACAATCTGATTCTTGCAAACCCTACCAATGACAAATTCAGTCAGTCTGAAACATCTCCATTTTGCGATTGGTCTAAATTACACCTAGCCTCTTTTTATTAGTAGTAGTACTAGGACTACTTTTCAGTTCTTCTTCCACCCCTCTTTTTAACATAGGTCAGTGAAGAGCTCTGGGCAAGTTGAGCCTTGCATAACCTTTTGGGCACATTTTGCTTGGTCCTAAAAGTATTGCTCAGCTACACATTCAGGACTCTTTTTCCTCATGAACACAGCTCCCTATATTTTTAATAATGCTGGCAAACTGTAACATAGCAGCAGATCTTCTGAAATAAAAACATTTTGCATCCCTCTAGAAAGGGTCAAGAAAAGAGTAGTTCCACAACTTATCCTCCTTGGTTGGAATGGGACCCAGCAGGCATCCTTCCTTCCAGGGTAGCTCACAGAGGGAGCTGCGAGTCTGCATGCAATTCCGCAGTGCAGAAGTTGGCTCTGTCAGCCGTAGCTGTACTTGGTGGTTGGCTTTTCCCTGAGGATATTACCTGGGTAATTTTGGCAGCCACCAGCCGTAGAGCCCCGTTGCCACTTTCCGTTCAACAAAGTCATGTCCCATTTGTGAATGTGGTCACTTGACAAGGTGTCAGGTGTCAGGTTGCAGATCTCAAGTCTTGTAAACTGCCTCTGAAAGTCAGAGAAAGACATCCTGCCACCATAGCAGCATGCAAGAGAGTTTAGTGAATCTGGAAACAGGCCATGCTCATTTGCTATTGATTTATTTTCTACTGATGCTGCAGACAGCAACAGCACAGGAGAATTACCTAGTATTACAAATCCTTGAAATTTCTAGGACTCCTCTTCAATATTTAAGACCTACAATTCTCACTGAGCAATCTTCTTGAATCCAACCATCACATGATCCTTGGATCATGCTCATTCAGAATTTAGTACGGATGTGTGAGAAGTATGTTTGTTTTTTAATGGAATTATTCAACTTGTACCTCCTCGGCCTGAATTTGAACTCAAATGCACTTTGTTATTAGAAATTTGTGCATTTCAGAGGTTGTGATACATTCTACAAAATAAATAAGAGTTGTCTACAACATGTGCACAATTGAAAAATGCACAAAGAAAAATGCATACATTTCCATAATGTGCACAGAACTGCTTTAATTAGTAGGTATATAAGTTCAGAGGTGTGCATGAAATGCATACATTAAGGCATTATAAAGAAAATGTGTATAAAATTTCATAAGACTTTCCCTTTGCTTAATTGAAATGGATTAGCTTGACCTCCCCACAATTTTATTGAGATCAGCACTAACAGATCTATCCATCCCTAGCTTCTAGTACCTGATCCTTCCCCCTGGAGATCCATTTCCTATACTACATTTCAAGGACCCGCTCCAGATCAGTGGAGATTTAAGAGGAAGGTACTACCAAAAAGCCCTTCTTTCCTGGCAGTGGTGCTGGGAAACAGTAGCTAAATTGCCACAATAGTCCTTGAGACAACAGAGCCAGGTAGGCCTCTGCACTGCCACTGAATTTATTTATTTATTTATTTATTTTTGCATTTATATGCCACCCTCTACTCCAAAGGAAAATACATGACTGCTTTCAAGGAAGGAGGAAGTTCACATGCAGAGTACTTTGAAGCCACTACATTCTGCCTATATTGGGCATAAAGAGCTGCCTGGCCAGACTTCCAACAACCTAGCCCGATCGCAGTGGTTCTGGCTCCCAGGCAGAATTTTTCTCCAGTACGTGTCACCTTTTTAATATAGAGGTGGGCAGCCTGCAGCCCTGGGACTTCCAGGGATGCTTAGCCCATTTTCGTATGACCCTCCAAAACCCCAAAGAATGCAATCTTTTCAGACCTCTAGCAAGAACAGCCTGCCCTTTCCCTGGCAGTCTGGTGAGTAGGAAGAAAGACGGGGAGAGAAAAATGAGGGTGGCAGATAGATAAAAGGAGCAGGCCATTCATTTTTGGCTCTTGCTCTACCCACTGCTGTCTTCCTTAGAGCTGCCAGGCTGCTGACGGGGACTGGGCGTTATGTTCACATGACTCCAGTCCTCCGTCAGCTTCACTGGCTTCCCATTGAAGTCCGGGCCCCATTCAAGGTGTTGGTGATGACCTATAAAGCCCTAAACGGCTTGGGTCCTGGCTACCTGAAGGAGCGCTTATGTCCATATATGCCCGCCCGCCCCCTGAGATCAGCAGGAGAGGCCCTTCTCCGGGAACCCTCCGTGAAGGAAATTAGGAGGGTAGGTACTCGGAGGAGGGCTTTCTCTGCGGTGGCGCCCAATCTATGGAATGCGCTCCCCAGAGAGGTCCGCCTGGCGCCGTCGTTATTTGTTTTTCGGCGCCAGGCGAATACCTTTTTATTCAAACGTTATTTTAATTGCTAATATTATTTATTTATTTTATTCTTTGACCAGGGTGACTTAATTTATACTGTTAAATTATATTGTTTTATATTATGTTATTTATTTATGATTGTGAGCCGCCCCGAGGCTTCGGCGAATGGGGTGGCATAGAAGTTCCCTAAATAAATAAATAACAGACACAACAGAAGGCGACTTTCTTAGCCTCATATCTAATTTTGCCTTTACTTCAGTGCATACGCACATCTGCCTATATTCTACTGAAAATTAAAAGTTCTTACCAAAATTCACCATCATCTGCTTGCTTATCCAGAGCTTTTTTTTGCTGGGGGTCAATATAATTCCATTCAGGAGCACTGAAAGGATACAAGAAAAGGAGTTCCCCTTGACCATTACATAGTAAAATGTGATTTAGATTGGGTGGACTGGAAGAGGCTAACAACACACAGGAGAACAGTAAGTAGTTCTTGCAGGAATCTTTCTTCTGTCTTGTGGCAAATGCTTATACCAGATGCAGTTCAGCAGTGTCCTCTGATAAGCTGACACTCTTCTAGGATGCCAGAATAAGCCTGAACATTCTTTTCTGACCCCCAATTCACATCCAAAACTTTAGCTATTTTGTACATTGGCTTGCCCAGCGTTAGAATTGGCCAGTTCTTTTATAATTAATGTGTGGGATATTATGAAAGTTGGACCCAATACTGAGTAAGCTTCTGATTGTTTGGCTAGAGCACTGATACCAGAGATGGATGGTATCACACTACTGCACAAAACAACAGTCAGACACCAGTTAGGGGTTCGGTTTTACTGAAGTCAGATTCCCATAAAAGTGAAAGATTTCCTGCTCTGTGTCAAACAACATCCAAGCAGGAGACCAGAATGCTCTCTTCTGGATGATACCTCCTGCAAGGAACTCTGCCTAAGCTATGGATCCTACTCAAGCACATAACATGTAATGAATTAAGTTGCATTGTCTCTACCTATTTAGAATTCCATGTGTGTGATTCTGCCTTCTCTTGTCCCTTCTGAGTTGCCCCTTGCACAAATAAGCTCTTCTTTGTATTTGGATATTTGGCTGCATCATGTTAAAATGGAAAATCTCACTAAATCCTTTCTCACAGGAAGGACTACACAATTGCAAAGTTATCACCTAGGATTTTCACCAGATTTTTGTTTAGTTCTCAGTTTCTGGGCTTTAGGCAAGGAAATTCAAAGCACCTTTCTTTTCATTCATTCTTTGAGCTGAGCTGCAGAGAGAGGTCCTTGGCAATACTGTGAAGAAACTTCTGGATCAGATTAATGTGCGTCAACAGGAAGATCAAAATTATTGGAGGCAGACAGCCCATCAGCAATTCTTTTCAGGGAGCCCTTCTAAAATATGGGTCCACCAGTAGGGAAAACCATTTCTCTGCCAGTTCCCAGGACCATAACAGTCCTATTCTACCACCTCTGTGAAATGCAAATCAACAAAGAGTTGAGCGGGAGGAAGCTATGTGATGCAAGAGCTAAGCAGGCAGCAAAGCTACTCAGCTGCCAGGGAATGTACAAATGTTGCCCTTAGAGTTCCATTCTTCTTGGGAAGTATCGGTGTGTCAGCCGTGCGCATGGAAGGTCGGATGATATGTGTGATCAGCCCTTTGATACATGAGATAGAAGCACAGTGGAAATGCCTCCACTGCCCCAGGAATCTCTTTTGTGTCACATCTGCAATAATGAGAGTGCTATTTTACAGTCGATATACTGAGTGGCAGTGTGATGTAGTGGTTCGAGTGTTGGACTGGGGATCAGAAGATCTGGGTTCTAGTCTGCACTTGGCTAGAAAGCTCACTGGGTGACTTTGGGCCTGTCACAGACTCTCGGCCTCACCCACCTCACACAGCTGTCAACAGAAAATGAAGAGGAGGAGATCTGTCTAAGGTGATGTGGATTCCTCGCAAGAGGAGAAAAGGCAGGATATAAATGCAATGTAATAAAAATAACCGTCAGGGTGAAGAAATGCCTTCCTTTTTAGCTCTGAATTTTAATTGGTGCTGTGTAAACAAGCCAAGTTTCTGTGCAACTTGGACAAAAAGCCTCACGATAAGAAAGAGAGATCATGGCACTTGGCTGATAGCTTGGGGAATGGGTGCTGCACCTTTTTTAGCCAAGGGTTGGATTCAGTTTCAGAAAAGCTCCCATGGTCCTCATTCAAGCAGAGGGTCGATGGGCAAAGGGAAGTTGGCCAAATACCTACATGTTTCAGCTTAATGCTTTTCCTGCCAGTAACTAAATCTCTGAGGTAGCATTTCAAACATTTAGAATGAGGAAAACCCCACACAAATACCAGGAAACCACCCAGGAATTGGCAGTCATTTGGGGTAGGAGTTAGGGTCAGGAAAAGGCAGTATGGCCATCTGGAGAACTAGCTTAGGACCTCAAGTGCCTGAGATTTGGCCTACAGGCCTGAAGGTTCAATACCCTAGTCTAGAAGCAGAATAACTGGCCTTGTCTTGCCAGTATTTTGAAGAAAAATAGACTGTGTTCAGACAATGTAGGTACCCACACTCAACAGCTGGCTGTGGATTGAGTGTGAGCTGTCACTGAAACTTGGGCTATTGTTCAAATGTGGGCTACCTGTTGTCTGACTCCAGTTGCATGGCTTGTTAACCACAAGGAATTATTGAAGAGAACTATGGTTTGTTGTTGGGTTGTGAACTGTGGGTTGTTCCCAATGGTTTGCTATGTTGGTTAGTTACAGATAGCACAATAACCCATGTTTCAAGAACAGCCCATAGTACTGTGATAACCCACACTCAAGCCAGAGTGTAGGTTATCATGTTGTCTGAATGAAGTACTTATGCAATGCTCTTCATAGCTGAAATCAAGTATTCTTCACTGTGTTATCCATACCCACATTTGAAAGCATAAGAACATAAGAAAAGCCATGCTGGGTCAGATTAAACACTAGATCCGTCAGTGTCATTTAATTTATTAACTTTTCCTAATGTAATTTTAGAGAAGCATCACACTCATAAGGAACAGTCAGAGCAGATGCAAAAAAGATTAATGCATCCTTTCTTCGGGGTGGAAGGAGTTGCAGCATAACATTCAACATAATGACATAGACATCTTCCGCACAATGAGACGCCAAATCAAAATATGCTTGGAGAACATGGTAACCGCCATGCGGGGCATTGCCTGTAGCCAGTACATGGATTCAGTATGGGATATGAAGTAAGGAAACATATGTTCAAATCCTTGCTTAGCCATGTAAGTGTAATATTTGAAATCCGGTCAATGTTTATGTTCCTGAGCATGTGGGGGCTATTTTTGCTATGACTGTTGATTGACTGATGGGTAATCTTGCATCAGGGAGCCCTTCCAGGACTAACAATCATCACAGGGTTACTATACGGCTAACATAGGATAATTCCATGTAATACCTCCCTGAACTCCTTGGTGGAAGGGTAGAGTCTAATAAATAAATGTTAGATAGAAAAAAGCCCTACAATGCCTCGCATGCCCCAGCTAGCCGTGCTCTTTTCTGTCCAAACATGCATAGGATTGCACCCTAAGTAAATGAATCAATAACCTTCCAAAACTTGCTATGAAAACATGGGAAACAAGTGTGACATTATGACAGCAATTCAGGTGTTTTAAAAATGGACCGTAACAACATACTTATCACTCCAGGCTCCAGTCCACTCCACTTCACCCCACGGATTTCTTATCCTTAGTAGCTTCTCTGGCCGACCACGGTAGTTAACCTCGAGGAAGCACCAAACAGAATTGCAAGATTTTATTGTTTCACTCACTGTTACAACCCTGTGACTTCACCCTAACTGTACTTCATTACGAATGAAAATAACATGTATAATTTGTCGTGGTCTGTTGCGCATGGGTTTTCCCCACAGAATTCATGGAACCATGAAGTGGAGCAGAAAAGGATCATAGTGTACATTTCCTGGAACAGCAAGTTTTCTCCAGACACAGCCGTTCTGGTAAACCTCTGGGTAGCTTGCCCAACCATAGCTATATGTCATCTGTTCATCCACTGGACAAATGGAAATTTATTCCAGGACATCAATTCTAAAACAATCTTCATTTCCCTTCTTTGGATTTATACTGATATCTTTACATTTTTGAAGCCACTCTGAAAAATTCAGTTTAAAAGCAGAGTATGCATTTTGAAAGGAAAATATGAAATATTCAAAAGAAGGTAGCTTTATAAACTAAAAATACCATAGAGTATTAGCTTGATTGCAGATCAAAGTAAAAAACAAACAAAATACTGTTTTTACCTCTTCTGCGCCGGTAATGGAGTAAGCATGACCTTTGACCAGCTTCTTGCTTGTGATTGCTTCTGTTTCAGCTGAACTAGTAATCTAAGGCAAAAAATATGGTATCAGGATGCTAGTTGTGTAATGCATACTGCTGGACAGACGAAAATCATAGAATCACACAGTTGGAGGAGGTCTCATGGGACATCTAGTCCAGCACCCTGCTCAGTCCAAGAAATGCACAGCTTGAGCTTCCCCAACAGATAACTTTCCACCCTTTCAAAGGAGGCTGGAGGCTCTTGTGTCTGTTGGGTTGTGTATCTACTCTGGTTTTTTTCAACCTGAACTCTTAAGGTATTATCCAAATTAGGTTCAACACTATGGATAGTTCCTTTGAATATCAGTCTGGAAGCTAGAGTGGGTACACCACCCCACTGAAATTGCAGCTTAAAGTGGCTGCTATCAACCCTTTAGATAACCAGTTCCTTTGTTCTATTATATTCTCCTAATGTTCAACCCAAAGCTACTATTCTGGAATGAAGTTCATTAAATCTGGTCCAGTCCAGTCCATTCAAAAAATGTATTTACTCCTTTTATGTGAAGGTCCTGAAGGTTTTAAGGAGTGCTTATCCTGTCCCACCACTTCTCATCTCTTCTCCAGGTTGAGGCCTTCAACCTTATATCAGAGGACTTGTTTTCCATATCATTGTCCAATTTCATTGCCCTCTTCTGAACCTGTCCCAATTTTCTGTACATCCTTCTTAAAGCACAAGACCCAGAACTGCACAGAAGGTCCAGAACCAGACATTGTTCAAAATGCTATCTGATCAGTGCAGAAGAAGGTGAACTTGGAAACAATGTTTCTATTAATGCAAGCTGAATTTGCATTAATAATGCTAAGGAAAGTCAAAGGCAGAAGAACAAGACAAACAAATATGAGATGGATTGACTCCATGAAGGAAGACACAGCCTTGAATTTAGAACAGCTGAGTAGGGATGATATGGACAGTGCATTTTGCAGGGCTTTCATTCATAGGGTTGCCGTAAGTTGGACACAACTTGACAGTACATGATAATAACGAATTTGCATTACCTATATTTGTAGCTCCATCAGAGTGCTGTCTCATGTTCAGCTTGTAACTGACTGCAGTCCCCAGATCAGCCTTGCCCACCCTGATGCCCTCCATGTGTGTTGGACTACAAATCTCATTATCCCCAACCAACATGGTCAGTGCATTGATACAGCTGGGTGACAATAAATTCTGGATTCCCTGTAAAAAGTGGGTCAATGAAGGATGGTCATCCCAGACCTTTATCAGCAATCTCGTTTCCCTAGCTGTGGAGCTCCATGCTTTCTCTTCAAAAGAGGAGTATCGCTTTTGTCAATCCAACATTCACTCAAATACATGCAAAGTCTCCCACTGATTCCACTGGTACAAATACCTGGGTTGACCTTAAGTGCTACTACATCAGAGACCAAAGTGTGGTGGGGTAGAGGGGGAAATTAGAATGGCGGCTTCTCACATCAATGGAGCAGCCCAGCAGTGAACCGGCTCCCAGGGCCTTCTGGATGATTTTATACAGATCAGGAGGGGCTTTCTTCAGGTCATATGCTTCAGCGATGCCACCAGTAAAATCTTCAAAGCCTTCTACAGTGGATCCTCCTATAAGAGCCTCATAGGAGCCATTCAACCTACAGCACAAAAACAGCGAGAAAAGAGAAGAATGTTAAATGCATATGAGGCCATTCCCCACGCATCTCCATTCATATAGAGGAAGTTAATGCATATAAAATTGGGTCCCTTTCATAAAATCCTCAATACATACCTTTCGATGCCAAATGAAGGACTTCCACTTTAACCCGCTAATTAATGCTTAATTTGTTGCTTGATTATCCATTTTACTGCTGACTAGTTGACTATTTTTAATGTTTAATGTTGCATTATTTGGATACTGTTATTGTATTTTTGTTGTTGGCCCTTAACAGGACCTATCACACCATCAGCTGTGTCTTACTTGGCATAGGCTTTCTCCAACAAGGCGTTCCAGAACTCATTTCTTTCTTCTGAGTGCAGGAAGAGCAGCTGTCCATTTCTGGTGGGAAGCCGGTCATCAACAACAACATCCACCCACTCTCCATACTGCCAAAACTGACCAAAAAAAAAAAAGCAGATGGGAAGGAGATCCAAATACTGGCAATCAGAGTGAAGAAAACTACTTCTAAGAACAAACACTTCAAGCTGAGCTCAGTGTTGGAAAAACATGGGAAATAATGATCTATCTTTAACAGTGCTTTACCTTTCTGTGCAAATAACTGAAACATTTGCACTGTGAAATCACAACATCTGAGACAGAGGAAAAGGAAAGTAGGCAGTTTCTAGCCAGATGAAATATAGACTACACTACTGAACTGAATTAGCAGATAATTCCTGATAGGTAAAGTTCTCGGCCCTTTCTGTGATGTGATCCTGGATTGACTAGCTCTCTCTTAGACTGTTTCTTTGCTTTTACTCTATTAATACTGAAAAGATATAATATGGAAGAGAAGAGGTACCTGGAAATGAAAGATCCCAGCATAGTCCTTTTGGAAGCTCTGATCCTTGGGAACAATTCGATTTAAAATCTCTTGATCCAACGTGAGAGATGCAATGGCTGCCAAAAGCCAGCAGTCTCCTGGAAACATCAGATGTCAAGAAAAAGCTGAACATAATGCCATATAAACACATTTAGCTCCACATAACCCAGGACTGCCTATTCCAAAAATGGTAAAATGGTAGCTCTTAGCTCCAGTCCCCAAATCAATTTTATCTGACCCCCCACTGCTTCTACCAAGTGTTTAAAAAAGAGATCTTAGCGAAATATCCAACTGTGTCACTATGCTATTGCAAATGTTGTTACACTAGCAGAAACTGAGCTATGCAAAAGAAGAGAATCCAATTAAAGTTAGGTTTGTATATATGGAGATGCACAAGCAGTTGCGTATTATGTCACAAAAGCACAGCTACACAACAGTTGTGCGTTAAGCTTGAGCAACCTATGGAGCAACTAGTTGTGTCCTGTACTTATACAATCTACTCTAATCAGTTGTGCAAGCATAATGCACAACCAGTTACTCAGCAGAAAAATCTGGCAGAGCTCAGGTGGCACAATGAATGTGCAGAATGATACTTACGCAGCCACGATGCAATGAAACTCTGTAGGCTGGATCTGAACCATGCATGAGAGGAAGCCCCCTTGCACGGTGCCCCCTCCTTTGCTCGTGTGTCCCCACATCCTTCCTGGAGTGTCCCCCAACCACAGCAGGCTCTGCAGCAAGGGGGCTGCCAGGAGGAGGGGGCATCTCTTGTACAAGATGAAATGCTGTTAAGTGCTATTTTGGCACCTGAGGCAGAAAACCTGCAAACATCTTTCCCGTTTTTGGCAGTAAGCATGCAACAACAGCAGGGATGGCAATGACAAGAAGCAGAAGACAAAGATGCAGACGCAAACGCGGAAGAGTAGTGCCAATTTCATTTTGAGTTTCATGAAAGCATAGCTGTTGGCTGGGGTGAAATTTTAATGGTACAGCCTGACCGGCAACTGAAACCCAAGTTACAAATGCAGGCTATATACTGTTACTAATCTCACTGGTTATATAACAAATGGTCGAGGCCAGTGAGGGAAGGTCAAAGAGGAAGGAAGATTCCGAATTCTGACAGGGAAGAAAAAGAATTGGTTTAGCCACCAAAGTGCTATATCTGCTTAGGCTTCGGGCCGTGGGAAGGAACATCAGCTGGGAGAGGCTGACCTCTATCAGGAAAATAGCCCAGGGCAGAGTGCAGGAGCCACCAGAGTACTGCTTTTACATCACCATCGCCATCCCCAAGGATCTCCTGGGTCATATCTAGGTTGGCATCTTTATGCCAGGAGAAATGGACCAAAAATGTGCCTTCAACAGGTATGCAATATAGGTTTCCCCAGCTTGGTGCCTCCTGACACTGGGACAGCCATTGGCCACGCTGTCTAGGGGAGCTGTCAGGCTGTCCAGTTAAGAGTCACAGGATTATAGAATGCTTAAGCAACTTGGTCTGTACTACAGATGTGTTTGCTGCTTTGCTACATTCAAAGTGTAAATGGCAAGGATATCAGAAAAGATATTTCAAACTTAGTTTAAATGCCAAGACCTGTAAAAATAATATTAAAAAGTAAGCCCTTGTCATTTGCCATTTGCAAGCTTTAATGCAGAAGGAAATGGTAGGCCTAATATATATGTAGAAAAGCAAAAAGCCTCCAAAGATGCACATTAAATCATATTAGTCTGCATGTGGTTATGCGTTTAAGTCAACTCCAAGTTATTGTTTCGTGGTATATGTTCTTTTTAAAAGCAGGGCCTTCATACAATATATGTAACACATTCTGAGTGTTTCAGGTTCCCTGAAGACTTGCAGGGTTGAGATTTCATCTACCGTTTGCTATTGACAAAGAAATAAAGTTTAATGAAGAAAGGCCTTAGAGACAACCGCTCCCTTAAATCAGACATTGATGTCAGCTAGTTCTGGGGGTGGGAAACATTTTTCAAAAGATGAAGATAACAGCACAGAATGCCTTTGCTTTAAAAACTAGTCAATGGGATATTTTCAAAACAAGAAATAAAGGTTGGGTTCAGGCATCATATTTAATATACTGAATACATATTGAACCTTGTAAATTTATGTGCTTCAATCTTCTGGAGCAACTGGCTTTGCATGTACCTATTCTCTGATCATGGCACCTGGCCATTCATAGTGCATCATGGCTCCCCCTTCCCCTGGAAAAAGCCAAGGAAGAGTGTTCCATTCCTCTACTCACCAAGGGCCCCTTGACGAATATCTGTCCGAGTGGCTCCTCCCTCAATGAACTGAGGGTTGGCGACCAGGTCCTGTAAACCATGATTGAAGAAGTTACTCTATCAGGCTGCTGACTCACATATTGCTTTAACCCTTCACCAAAGAAGATTCCTAAACTGTAGTGCCTTCACCTTCATTGCCAGCATTTTTACAAAACTTAAGATCTTCCCGTAGGGTCAATGCTGCTAACATGAGATGCACTCAGAAATGGTGTCCTCCAGCTGTACTGACTGCACATGGGCAAGGCTGGCCAGGAATTATGGGAGTTATGGTCTGCAGGCTTGAAGGTGGGCAATGGCTGCAGTAAATATTTATCTCAGTTACCTGTAACATGACAAAGGTATCTTCTCAGGCTTATCGAGCTCACTGGTGCAAAGGTCTACTGGGTCCAATTCCCATGTTACTTCATGGCAGGACCAGTGCAAGACATGCTGCTGCCTGAGGCAAAGGACAAAATGGACCTGCTCCCATTCCATGCTCAACAGATAAATGGACTGGAGGCTGAATCTTTTTCCACTCTGGCAGATGAACAGCATCATCCACCAGGCTTGCTTAAGGGGTACAGGGCAGGCTGTGTGACCCACAACTCCAGGAACCCTTCCTGCCGCCTCCCAGCATCTGCCACATGAGGCAACTATTTCAGGGCCACCCTCAAACCTGGGGACCGGTTTGCAGAACCCAGAATCAGTACTTGCTGTGCATGTTTTTATTTGTGCACTGATTTGCCTTTAGAGGGTGCAAATGACACCTGATTATTGAGGGGTAGGGACCCTGCCCCTCAGATAGCCACACATTGCAAAAGATGACCACTTCAGCGTCTGCTGCAGGTGGACTTTCCTCTTTTCCATGGGGTCATCAACTGCCCAGTGGGCAGGTTTCCAAGAGAGAAAGGGAGGTAGACTTCAGCAAGACTACCCTGTCGTCAGGGCAATGTTCCACCAACTGCCCTGTAATGGTCCATCTAGCCCAATACTGTCAACATTGACTGGCAATAGCTCTCTGAAGACTGTGGTATGAATTTTCCAGCCCGGGGATTTGTACCAGCGTTCTATTGCATGCAAAGCATGTGCTCTGCCAATGAGACAAGGCCTCTCCTCCACCACCTACACATTCCAGCACTTCCCTTTGGGCCCCAAGGTGATGGGGTGCGAAAGAAAGAACAGCCTTTTGATGTTAGACACTCTCCACAAAAATGTGTAGGTGTCCAGGAGGCAGGACCAGAGAAGGGTCCTGTATCCACTCCCTGATACTCAAGTTCATGTAGTTATTGTGTGAAGGAAACCCCTGCTTTTTTATAACCAAATATGTTTTGTATATAATGCAGTGAGCATCCCAAACATGGTGAAGGTCACCATTCACATGAGAATTTTATGAATGTGCTAAACCATGTCCATATTTTTCAGAGGCATATCTGTTAATTCTGACAGATCAATTTAAACTGCAAATCCTTTAGCCAATCTTATCTGGGAGTAAGTCCTGTGGAACTCAGCTGGACTTACCTCCAAGTAAATATGCATAGGTCTGAGGTATAAGATGACTGTCAGTGCTCATCAGTGTTAACCCTCAGTTTCTGAACATTTACAAGATCAATCAGTCTTTAAATTTAATGTGTGCTTCTTGTAGCTGTGATTAGCCCTGGTGCATGCATGTGAACTTGCTGTACATGTATAAAAAGAGGTACAAAAGGTACACGGCATTAGTTTTTCTACTTTGTGAAAAAAAGCATAAAGGTGCAGTCCTATGCACTTATAGACAGAAAAAAGTCCTACATCTCCTAGCTTACCCTCATACTGGCCAGGGCATGCTGGCAATTGTAGGACATTTTTCTGCCTAAATATGCATAGGGTTGAGCCCTAAATCACATGCACTTCCTTCTTTCCCCATTCCCACCAAACTCAACTCATTTACATAGTAGTACCAACCCACACAGTTTTTGTTTGGACCAGTTCTATATTTTACCCTTCTTCCCAGATGGCATACATAGGGCATTTCCAATTCTATAAACACAAATGTTTTTATACGAATTTTTAAATATATCCAAATAACAACAACAGCAACACTGGGAATACCACACTGCACTAACTATTTTCTGTGATCTTTGATATGCACTACCAGTCTTAAAGAATGTTTCATCATGTGCTGCCCTCTCAGTTCTAGTTCAATAGATTTTTGGAAGATTTCCCAGGACATTGTGAATCACAGTCATAACTGATTGTTCCAACATATGCAAAAGAATATGTTACAGTAAAAACAAGAAGATTTAAAAAGTCAGTCTTCCTTTTTTCCCCATGCAAAATAAATTATCAGCATATTTCTTAATCAATTTTGCATGATGGTTAGCATCAATGTATAAAGGTGCATGTTTTCCTGGAAATGATTTTCAAAGTAAAAACATACTTAATACTTTACTATGCCCATACACTTGGGGGATTTAGAAATTTTATACCATGGTGTTGGTGCTTCTGAAAAAATCTAAAATGAGAAAATGGTGGAAGTCAGAAGAGCTCAGAAGGGACTCTGCTGACCTGTCTTGATCAGAAAGTGAGCATTGCGACTCATTTCTAGGATTAGCTTTAAAAGCGCCAAAGCCCTGGAGCAGCCCAATATGACATTTGTCATATTCCCCAAATAAAGTTGTTGCTGTTGCGTGCCATCAAGTCATCTCTGGTCTTATGCAGACCCCATGAATGAACACCTTTCAAAATGTCCTGCCCTTGACAGCCCTGCTCAGCAGTTGTCAACTCAAGGCTGAGGCTTCCTTTCTGCAATCCATTCATCATATAATTGATCCTTCTCCTCCTCCTCTGCCTTCAACTTTCCCAGGCACAATTGTCTTCTCCAGTCAGTCTTGCTGAAGTGCCTGAAGTATGACAGCTTTGATTTAATCATTTTTGCTTCCAGGGAAAGTTCTAGTTTGATTTGATCCAGGACCCCCTTGTTTGTCTTTCTGTTGGTCCGGGGCATTTGCAAAGCTCTCCCCCATCACCATGCGTCAAACACTGAATTTTCTTCCGGTCAGCTTTCTTCACTGTCCAGCTTTCAAGTTCATATACAGTGATCAGCAATATATTTTGGCCTTGATCTACAATGGCGACATTTTCTAGTTCTTTCACAGCTGCCCTTCCAAAATTATACCAACACCTAAATATGAGATTTGTGGCAAAGAGTAGCACAGTTAAATGAGTCTGGACCCAATGATCTTATGGGGTGGAGGGCTCACTAGACTGGAAGGTATATTGCTCCACTTCCTTCAAAGCACAGCAAAGCAGCCCTGCAGAATCTGAGAGGCCTCCTAGTCATTCTGTTGAAAGGCTGCCCTGGATTTCTGTATCCATGCTGAGAAAGTCACTGAACAATTATTTCTCTCCACTACAAGCCTGAGCAGCCCTCCTGTTCCTATCGCTATGAACACAACAACCACAGACACCACCATCATTCTCTTTTCGGAAATAAATATTTGAAACACAAAGGAATCATTGAAATTAAAATTCAATTGCAATTCAACAAATCTACCAATATGACTAACAGCACAATAAAAGCCTACAGTTTCCACATTTAAGAGTAGCAGAGAAAAGCTTTAAAACAGCCAATCACATACTCAAAGCCTATTGAAATTCTTGTCAAAGTGACACAGATTCTTCAGGGATCAAAAACAAACACACACACAACTGGGCTCTTGCTGCAAGCATATAGTTCCAAATGAAGAGGAACAGAACCATTCAGGAGATTATTGTGGCCATGAGAGGAAGAGCAGCACCGACTTCAGAGAGAGGTCAAAATTCCCTCTCTAGCCTTTGCTGAAAAAATCAGATTTCCTGCCCCTCAGGGAGACAGGCGGTCAGATCCCAAGATGAGCCCGCACTCAGGTTAGCAGCTGCTTACTTGGCTTGCCTCTGGCATGTCAGCTAGAGATGATCCGCCAGCTTACAAGACAGGAGCCTGGGGCCTTGGCGACAAGCGCTGAACAACAAAGGATGGCCAAGACTTCGGCACTGCGGCAAAAACCGTCAGACCAAAAGCATTACTTTAGATCAGGGGTTTCCAAAGACAGCATTTGTGTACGCATGCCTAGGGTAGTACCCAAAAACTGATGTTGTCTGGGCAGCTCACAAAAATTAAAGCCATAAAATACAATATAAGATCCACTGTGCAAGTTTAAAAGTTCACAGTATGAAATAGAGGTAAAAACAACATTGAACCTCACCACAATGCAAAGATTTAACATAGTTAGAGTGCAATTCTATGGCCTACCAACGTCATCTGAATTATTCAGAGACCCAAATTAATTGGAGTCTGGAGTAGGGTTATTCATCTGTGAACTGGAGATCTAGGATCTGGGACTCAAAGCCTGAGCCCCACCCTGCTTCTGCTGCAGCAAGTGCAGGAAGGATCATGCCAGCTCCTCCCCCCCCCCCCCCCCCGCAAAAAGGGGCATGCCAGCAGCTGAGAGGGGAGGCAGCAGGGGCTCCTTCCTTCCTGCTCCCTTCATTTTCCAGATGTGTGAAAACATGCTTTGAATTAAAATACATGGGACCAGGCCTATCAGCAGTGAGACTGCCCCTGCCACACCTTCCCCCACACTTGCAGGCCTCCACACTCAGTGGCTTCAGTGCACTGAGGCCTAGGAGCGTAGGACTGCTCCCTAAGACCCCAGCCCCATGCAAGTCTCCACAGGGAAGAGACCTACCGCAACTAGCGTGTCTCAGCAAATATCTGTACTCCTGAGCAAATTTAAACAATGGAAATCGAAAGACTAAAGTGCCTGGGAAAATAGAAAGGCCAATCACTGGCCCTGGAATCAGCACAGCCAGGAAAGCTTTGCTGCAAAGCTAATTCCACAAGTAGGGGCCACAGCAGAAAAGGCAGTTTTCAAATATCCACTCACCTCACCTTCTTTGAAAGAGGCTCTCAGGGAAGGATCTTAAATATGGGAGGGGAGCATCCTGCAGAGGTGTACATGGGAGGAGACCTTCCTTTGGAGAAGCTGGCCTGGTACTCTAACAGCCTGAAAAGCACTGAGGATATGTCCACC